GACAGCTATAAGGGTAGGGTAGTCGATTCGAATGCCGAGTAGGTAAATTAATTCCGGGTAGGTAAACTTCCCTCCCCCGCACCAAGTTAGCGGCCGCGGTTAATATATAAGTAAAGTAATAAAGTAATTGGTTTAAATAAAGTAGTTAATTCGAGTAGGGTAATAAGGTAATTAATTCGAGTACCAGGTAGGTAAGCTCCCCTCTCTAGTACGAAGTTAGCAGCCGCAGTCAATATATAAGTATAGTAATAAAGTAGTTAATTCGAATAAAATAAAACCTTTAAATAAGGTAGTCGGTTTAAGTAGGGTAATAAGGTAGTCGATTCGAGTGCCGGGTAGGCAAGCCCCTCTCCCCCGTACGAAATTGGCGGCTGCGGTTAATATATAAATAAAATAATGATAAAATAAAATAAAAAGTTTAAATAACGTAACAAGGTAATTAATTTAAATAAGGTAATTAGTTCGAATAGGGTAATAAGGTAATCGATTCGAATGCCGGGTAGGCAAACTAATTACCTTCGTACGAAATTAGTAACTACGGTTAATATAGAAATAAAATAATAAAATAGTTAGTTCGAATGTTAAATAAATAATTCTACTACTTTTAAATTAAGTTGATAGCTGTGGATAGTATATAAATAGAATACTAAAGTAATTAGTTCGATTATGGTAATTAATATGAATAATTCGATATTAAATAATTAATAATTATAAATAAAGCTTAAATAAAAATGGGAATAATTTATATATAAACCTTTAAGACTAGTATATATTTCGAATATACTAAACTTACTAGAATTAATATAATACACGGTTTAATAACCTATTTAAGACTAATTATATAAAGTTATATTTAAAATAATAAATATATGAAATTTCAAAAATTATTTTAAAAATATTAAAAGCTTATTATAAGTAGGGTTTGAAGTTTATAATATACTAGCTATACGTTTATATATTAATACTAATACATTGAAAGGTTATACGTATATTGGAATTATATAAAATTTTTAGTATACATACTTAATTTTCGTACTTATAACTAATCAGAAATCAAACTTGTAATTTAAGTAGGAGTATAAAATAAAAATCATGTTTACGTTATATAACTACTTATAAACCTATATACAAGTTTTGGTTATGTTTGGACTATTGGTTGTTGTGTAATTAAATACTACAGAAAATCCCTATAGAAAATGCCCGATTTTTGCTGTCCGTTGGGGTTTTGTGATGTCCGGTGGTTTTGTGACCAACTCTGCCTAGTAGAGTTGGGGAATAGACAGGAACTGCTCCACTCTCCCCAACGGGTACCTTGGACATATGGTTGTCACCTCAAGAGCCTGTGGTCGAGTGGTGTGGTGCGCAGCTCCTCGAAACTGCCCACCACATGCCACTGGAAAGCCCCCGAGAGGCACCAGGCCGCCTAACAAGCCCCTATGGCGGGGGGCACTCCAGTGGAAGTACAGCGGAGATGGCGCCCCAGTGCGCAAATAGCCCTCCCATCTCCAGTACGTCAGCCGTTCGATTCCTGGCCTTGCTCTCTTTTTTGCCCTTTTTTGCCCTTTTCCAGACTCACTTACGAGGGAGGCAATGGAACTCAACACCCGATCTTGCGATGACTTCTGTTGTCTTTTTCTGAAACCACAAAAGATGTGTCAAGACGACGGTCTCTCGGGCGTTATGAGATGTTAGTGAATTTCGCGGGACGATGATTGGACCTGTTTCTCCCTGCTCCCCACATGTTCACGTAACGACAACCTCAAGGCCAGTTTCCAAGGGCCATATCGAACCAGAAGAGGTGACATGATATAAGTTGAGCAACATAATAATACCTTGCCATTGCTCCGTCTTGTCTTTGAAAGAATCCCAAGCTACTGTTCCTTTTGAATGGAAATGATGATCCGCGTGGGCCGCGTATTCCCAAGAAGACGGGCCGTTACCGGTCATCGGAGGTGTGTGTACACGTAAGCTACATGGGTCGGGGGCAATTTAGGAACAAGCTTTCACAAGCTTTGAAACCATCACACAACGGCCGGCCCGCATGCGAAGCCCGACGCTATTCCCAAGTTATCTCTAAACTCCGCGCGTAGATATCAGCACCCTTCATCGGTCTCCCCTCAACACGATCTGTACTGAAAGATTCTGCAGATCACGGGCCCATATTTGAGAAAAACGACTTCCTGTTCGGGTTATGGACGTCGTTTTGTCGCTGACGCGATCTCTCTTCGACTTCGGCGCATCTATCGCCTGCGCATGTGGTCATCTAGAGGTGCCGTCCATTTTCCCGATTCTAGCTTGTAGAGCTACTAAACACTAAGGTGAAGTCCACGAGCTGAACAGTCTAGATGCGGTAGGTGTGATAACGAAGTTTTGATCTTGTCTATTGTGCCTGCCCCCATTGGCCACGGACGACAAAGACGTGATTGCGGGACTGAGGATTCAACCAAGCCGGTGTCGTTCCCTAATTTCCATTGATCGACGATATCAAACCTTTTCTGGCAGATCTGGGGTAAAGAGCTTGGTGATGTCGCGTGGTCTTTCGTCCTCAAGTTCCAGAAGGTCGGAACCCTAGGAAAGAGCTTTGAGCTGGGATACCCAGCTTCAGACGGTTCGTCCCTGCTTCCAGGGTCTGTGGGCTGTTGTGCCACTTCCCATTTCCCAATCTTGCTTGAATTGAATGGAACAAAGTTTTGGTTTCACCTAAAATCCTTCAAGTTTCTGGCTCTTTCAGATCCCGTTTTACATGACGAATACAGCCCAGGTGACTAGCCCACCTTGGACGCATCGCCCATACTCCCTCCGCGCTTCATCTCCTCCCTCTTTCGTCTTCTGGTCCCCGCCAGACTATTCAGGTCGCAGTCTCCTGACCCAATGAGCCCCGGTCGCTGCTTCCAATATACCCGAACATGGGACGCGTCACCAGTGCTTGAATGCCGCTGTCTCGGCCACCCAATGTGTGGGGCCATGTCATGAGTAGTCATGTACAACGGGGGAAATTCCGACGATACCGAACCCCTTTACAAGTAAATATACTTATGAGCCTTGCGTGTGCCTATCCGCCGACCTAATTCCCTCAGGTACCCGTGCCACTACCCCAGAGGCACGGCCGGGTATCACAGCCGTATCACTCCTTGACACTCCTTGCCCTACATGTCAGTAACAGTATAGATAATCTCTGTATCACCTTTCAAAATTCAGTCTCGCATCTGCCCACATTCCTTCTCTTCGTTTTCCTTCTATCTTTCCTGGTATATCCTTTCTCCCTTGTGTTGATCCTCGAGGGCAGGCAAAAATGCTCCTAAATCGGCTACTCATTGTAACGACGCTTTGTTCCCTTGGCACATCTGCGCCTTTAGAGCCCCAAGATGCCATTACGATATTGGGCACGACCGGCCGTAAGGACATGAGCGGGAAGGCTGGAGATCCTCCCCAGAAATATTTCCGTAGGTGAACCCACAACAACAAGAAGGCACCACCGTCAAGGTGTCCAAAGTTTTCGATGAGCTTGTCTCTGGAACTGCCCATTGTCAGACTTTATACCGTAACTCGGGGTTGAATGATACTGAGAACAGAACACTGACCAACCAAAACAGACGAGTCAACGTAAGAGAAACACTACTTGTGACAGGTAAACAGCAGAGCTCGTCAGTTAACCTGTATTCACTGTGTAGCTTCGACCCACACTATGATGGCCGGTAAGACGCACCTCCTCTTGATCTGGCAGTCGCATTATATTCGCGATACTGACACGGCTGCGCAGATTTGCCGAGAAAGCGCTCGGCTACCAAGAACAAAAGGCAGCGCTGAAGAATCTTGTTCGGACATTTCTTGAAACAACGAGAGACCTAGGCATCGAGACCTGGCTTATGCACGGTAGCCTGCTGGGGTGGTGGTGGAACAAGCAGGTATAACCGACCCTTTTCGCCCATGACGGTCGCTAGAACTGACATGCACTCAGGTCATGCCGTGGGACTCGGATGTCGACGTACAAGTCACCGAGGCCAGCATGTACTTCCTAGCAACCTATTACAACATGTCTGTCTTTCATTATAAGACGCCGAGGTTACCGGCCGGCCGGAACTACATGTTGGAGGTTAACCCTAACTTCTTCAACGGAGACCAGTCGGACCGGATGAATGTCATCGACGCCAGATGGATCGACACCGAGTCCGGATTGTTTATCGACATCACAACTGCCCGGTACAACTTGACACACCCGGCAGGCGAGGGCATGATGAGCTGCAAAGATGGGCATGAGTTTCGGGTAACTATCACCATATCAGTGAAGAGAAGCGACAGTGACTAACGATAAGTAGGATACGTACATCTTCCCCTTGCGGGACACTATCTTCGAGGGAGTTGCGGCCAAGATCCCGTACCGCTATAAAGAGTTGCTCGCGAAAGAGTATGGGGACTGGTCACTTACCTTGAAAGAGTTTGCCAAGTATGTACACTCCATCCGGTCTTAGAGAACTTGCAAGCTAATTGCCTTACAGCCACATATTTGACGAGGTAAAGATGGAATGGGTGCCAAAGTTGACTACACAATGAAGAAAAGTGCCGGCGGAAGAGCAAAAATTGATACCCATAGATGACGATGAGGTGAACTCAAGCGGGTTCGTAGACTCGGAAGGAGGACGAGATTAGATCAACAACGGAATACAGGGAGACCCATGTTTTGTCCAAAACAGATGCCCAGTCTGCCACGTGAAAAGCTGAAGATGAACTTCCATTGTATAAAAGAGAGGTAACCGTTGACAAGATCGTCAACATCCGATGCCGGTTGGTGATGTTGTTGTTTGGGTTGTGGTTTCGCTGTGACTCTGAGGCTGAACTAGGGACTCGGGGCCTTCAGGGGTCAAATGCTTGGCAACAGCCACTCCACGGGAAGGATAGTGCAGGCGCAACTTCTGAACTGGAAAGCTTGGCGGTTGCGGGGGAACGCCCCCAAGGAGATCATGCAGCGAGCAGCCTGCCAGCGCATCCGCTGCCGCCAAGCCGTGCACCTCAGTGTCGCGTCTGTCAATTTATCCAGCGCGTTCCAATGTCGTCAATTGAGCTCCTGCGACTATTCAAGCTCCTCTCTTAACTACCATCACACCCGTGCCACTCGAATCTATCGGCGGGCATACAACACAGCTGCCACGCCTAAGAATGTGATCCGCTCCAGTTAAGGATTGACTCCTTTCTCGAAGCCATGGCGACCAGTAAGCCTCAGTCCAGAATGCTTTCAGTTGGTGATAGACTGACCTGAGCCAAGGTCGGCAGGAGCGCATGCAAGAGCGCATGCGCGGGGCGCAGTAAGTTGACGATATCCTGTTTTTCTGCGTCATTTCTGTCATGAAGCGTTTCCCTATTGTTAACGCCATCCAAATAGTTCTCATCAGGTTGCCGATATCTCGTTCAATTTCGAGATCCCTCTACCCGTAGAGGAACCCTCGTCGGAGGAACCCACTGGTCACGATGAAGCGTCTTCGCCAACAAAATCGCCAGATACGGCTCTTGCTCCAGCTCCTACGGTAGAGACACAGCCTATTGCTGCGCCGGTGTTGACACGTCCAACGCCCAATACGTCTGTCAAAAGGAGTCGTAGGAGCCCCCCATCAGCAACATCGATAGCCGGGATACATACACAGCCCCAGCCGCCGCACCCTCGAGCTACGAGCCCTTCAGCCGCGTCTGCGCAGTCGCGCTCTCCCGAAACGAACGATCTTTTACATACCGTCATCAGCGAGCGACCAACTCGAGAGCGCTCCTCTGGTTTGCGACGCACTTCTCCCGCGCGGGCGGACCAGGGACGAGAAGATGCGGCATCACCGGTGGTAGATAGGCCTTCTAGCCCAGCCCAGTCACAGCAGCATCAGCATTTGAAATCGCCCGAGCAGCTGCCACCACCACCACCAATAAGCAGTGCGTCGAAAGCACATCGCCGGCCTCGCTATGTCTCACCAACTGCTCTGACGGAAGAGGTGGACGAGAGCCCGGCCGATGCTCCCGGGAGCGGAAGACGCCGACCACTACGGGTTGGTGAACCTGGGAGCGCAGTCCATGGGTCCAGCGCGTTGCTCCAGCGGGTTCTGGAGGACTTGGACGACGGGACTGAACAAGTACCAGAGCAATCTTCTCCGCTTGAGCGTGCGGCTTCACGGAAGAGTGGAGACTTATTTGCTGCTAGGAGGGTGGCGGCCGAACCGCGGAGGAGCACAAGACTCTCAGGTAGCAGTCCACCTGAAAGTGTGGCGAGCCAAGATCTAGGAGAAGAACCCTCACCGTCAAAGGGAGCGCAGCGGGGCGGAACTGAGAGGGAGGAAGACCCAGGGTCTGACACAGGAGACAAACAGCGTGATACGCGTGGTGCTGAGCTTGCAAAGGACGGTGGCGTCGAAAACGAGCGCCCCAGCAGGCAGAGGGGGAAGAATGGAGACCAGGAAGACGACACTGAAAAGGCTCAGGAAATCACCGACAAGGAGGCTGCTAGACTTCTCGGCCGAAAACGCCCCAGACGAGCTGTTCCTACGCCCTCCCCACAGCCGGAGGCAAGACCATCTGAGGAGGGGCCCCTGCCAAAGCGACGCCGCAGACAAGCTGAGCCAGCTGATACGACCCAACAAAAACAAACCAAAGTACGGCGGGAAAGGCTTCAGCGCGCGCCTACTCCGGTACCTAGTCCTCCCCAGGTCCCGCAGAAACAACCAAAGCAACAGAAGGCACCCGCAACTCGCAAATCTACGACTCAGAATCCCCCCAAGCCGAAGAAGGGCAGAAAAACAGCCAAGAAGGATGGTGCGGAGGACGAAGGAAAGGGAGAAAAGGCGGAAGCCGTTCCAATTACCGTCCAACGCTTCACAAAGCCTCCCAGAGCCAGCGATGGTCCCGACGAACTAAATGCCGGAGTTTTCGACGCCGAGATTCCCTTTGCGAACAGAGCCGGCGTCAACGCCATCGACGTTCTCTCCGAACTATGCGAGGGTCTTATCGCAGGGTTCCTAGCCAGGCTGGAGGAACGAGCCAGGCTTGCCGATGACGCAGCAACAAAGAGGGAACAAAAGACCAAGTTCCGCACCATGGAGGCGTTCCAAGAGGAGCTGAGGACCAGGCTGCTAGAACATACCATCGCCCTCGACACGCTCCACGCCCTGCGCAAGCGGGTAAGGGTGGTGCAGAAGGAGAAGCTGGGGTTGAGAGAGGAGATCTTGAGGATACGCGCCGAGAGAGATCAGGTTTCGCTGAGGATGGATGCTATTCGGATTAAGCATGAGGTGGATAGCAAGGAGGCTTTGGTGAGTTTCTTACCCAATCCATTTTTTTTCAGTCTTTACTCGTGGAGTTTTGCTGACCTTCTTCTCTTTTCGTTTGCTACCAGCGACACATATCGCTCTCTTCTGCCATGCATGACATAGACCTTGCGGTGGAAAGAGGTCAGGCAGCTCCTGAACTGTCCGCGGCTGAGCAGAAGATGGCAGACTTGGCGAATCTGGAGTTCCTCATTAGCAGGGTGTCGGGCGAGGTGTCCAACAAGGGTAACGACGGTGGGGCATTAAAGCAGATCAAGGATTTCAATGCGTTTTTGGAGCGAGCGGCAAGTGTTTTAGAGGGCAGGTAGTTAGGTTTATGACTTAGAATGGCATAGCGACACCACTGGAAAAGGCGTCTCCAGAAAGGGAACCCGTGTATTGACCCGAACTCGGTATGTACCTTATGTGCCTCTACTGTATACCAATATCTTTACCGTGTCCGGATACCTTCTTACGTATAACATAACACAGAAGTGATGTCCAAGTTGGCTCGAAGGCAGTGGGCAACACCGATTTTACTGTGATAGTCTCCTTTATATCTCAAATATATCTACATCTAGTTGGCTAAGTCGTACTGTTACATCCGAAATCTGTTGTTCATCGCGCATTCTCATTCCCCTTCCCTCGACCCACCTGGAATCTCAACGCTCTTTAGTAATTCGGCGTTCCAAGAACCCGCTTGATCTTGTCTCCAATAGTCTCCTTGCCCTCCATCCTGCGCTGCTCTCTCTCCTTAGACTGCTCATTCCACAACTCCTGGAGGTTCTTCGCCATGATCGCCTTGGCCCTGTGTTCAGCCCTGAGCGCCTCTTCTTCCGCGACCCGCTCCGTCTCCGGAAGCTTGGCCAGTTTCTCCTGCCACGACTCCACGATGGCCTGGCTTGGTTCGTAAGGATCCTTCCCAGGTTCTGTACCTGCACCAGCTGCTGTTGCTCCGGGCTGAGGGACAGTCGATGTTTTAGTCGGATAAACGGGGACTTTGTAGGTGCTGTTCTCGAACAGGGACGGGAACGCAGGAACTGGCCGACCCTCGGCTTTGCACTTCTCGATCTCCGCTTCTTGGTCTAGCATCCTGTGGTACAAAGTGTCGGCGTGCATTTGGATGTCCTCGTCTACTTCGGGCGAGCGGTCGTAGGTTTGGAGGTAGCCTAGGGCTTTTAGGAGTTTCTACAGCATTATCAACTGGTTAGCGACTGAAGAACAACAACAACAACCCGCCAACTCCACAACTCCGCTTGCAGACAAGGAACAGGGAAACCATATTTCCTTTCCTCTTTCCTCGTCACTCGCAATGAAATATAAAATCAAACATACCGATTGCATATTATAGCACCTCTCAAACTTCCTCACCGTATCGCGACACATGGTCGCGCGATCCGCCCAGCTGCCGTGCTTCATACAGTTGTTCCAATCCAGCTGCTCCTCGGCGCAGTTCTCCAGCGCCGCTTTGCCAATCATCGCCTTGCGCTCCTTGAACCCTTCCAGCACGTCCATCAGCTTCTCGTGGTCCGTCTTGGTCTCGGCCTCGATCTCGTACTGCGGCCGGTACGTCTTCCAGAGGTGCGCGTAGCGGCCATCTTGGTAGAGGGAGGCGCGTGGTACGGCTGGTTGTTGTTGTTCGTCTTGGATTTGTTGTTGTTGCTGCTGCTGTTTGTCGGTCGCTAACGCTTTCGCTGTCGCTGTCGCTGTCGGTACGGGCGCCTTCGCTGGAGTGCTACTGCTGGGATGCTGTGATTGTTGCTGCTGCTCCTGCTCTTGCTGAGTCGTGTACTTGACGGGGGACTCCCGGGCAAGGAACTCGCGGAGCTTGGGATCGAGCTTCCCCAGGGGGTCTGACTCGTCACTGCTGGAGCTGCTCCCGAACCACCCATCAAGCCAGCCCATTGTGCTGGTTCCAATGTTGATCCTATCCGCAACACTTGCGCTTTGTTGATGGTTTTCCGGCGAACAGGAAGCTGGGTGAACGCGCAAGTCTGGTAAGTACTATCGCGTTTGTGGCACCATGAAGGGAGGGGTAATAAGTTGCCGTTGCTAAGCTATCGTGAGCTTACAATTTCGGGCGGACCAAGACGGCAGAATGACCAGCCTCGGAATTGCGGCCGGTTGTTTGGTTGACCCTAACCCTACAAGACCAGACCCAAACATGCCCACTCGCCTGTGGAAGGAACCTCCAACTGTAATAAACAACTTCATCCGGGCACTTGCACTTTAGCAGTTGACAACTTGACATCACGCCTCTGCGCGTACTTCATGTAACATGTTTCGCTTTTCTCAAGACTTACAATTCAAAGTGTCTTGAATTCTTTTATTCATTATTGACAATATTTCTTTTCAATTGCTACTGAATCGTAACGCTACCTGAGCCTACGCCGATTGCCTGCTCAAAGCAACATCATCCCCAGCATTCCCGCCGCACCTGCGACCAAAGCACCACCCACCATATCCATGGGCCGCCCGGCTCCTGAGTTTGATCCAGTGGTCGCGGTAGTCGACGCATTCCGAGCAACGCCTGACGTCTGTGCCGCGATAGCCGTTACCAGCGTTTGGGTTATTCCATCCGAGACGGTAGTCAAAGTTGTAAGGCTAGAACCGCCTTTGCTGGTTGGCACTGCAGATGATAGCCCTGAAGTCTGTGTCGAGTTACCAAATTTAAGGCCACCGGAACCAGATGGACTGGAGATACCAGTGACCAGTGATTGATGGGCAGCGCCAGTTCCGTGTGGCTTTCCTCCGGCCACTCCGCTGGCTCCTGGAGCAGTGCCGTTTGTGATGGGGAAGAAACCGGACGGGCGGGAGGTTATCGCGGCTCTGGATGTCTCTGCGACTGCGGAACTAGCGCTGGTGGAAGACTCGATAACAACTGAGGCGAGGAATCCGCTGGTAGCCGAGGTCGATGTCGCGTCGGCCGTGGCTGTCTCAGTTGTGGATGGCTCGGTCGCTGTCGTCTCGAGTGCGACGGAGCTAGGGAACGCTGAGTCCTCAGCAACGGCAGTGTTCGAGGCGATAAGGCTCGATGAATTGAGTGTTGCTGTGGCAGCTGAAGTCACTTCGGTGGACTGCACCTGAGACACCACTGACGCTCCGGCGGTCGTTGATGTCTGTGGAATAAGAGGGATAAGCTCACTGGTTGTGGTAACCAAGGTAGCTGCCTCACCCACGGCCTACAAAAAGTCAGCTACGGTTCTCTCCTCCGCGGGTATCAGGTTCAACATACCGACGAAGCAAGGCCAGCAAGAGGTCTCAGAGACACTGGTGTTTCGGCAGATGTCGCAATGGGAACAGTCGTCTCGCTGCTCACGTTGGAGCTCTGAAATGGAATAGCTTGTGGTCTGGCGAGAGTCTCGTGAGTATAGATGGCCAGGAGACAGGCCGCGAGGTTTCTGGCTGAGTACTGCATTATGACTTGTTCTTTCGTTTCAACTCGTGATCGGGATGCGAACGTGATCCAAACGAGAGATTCCAAGGAAACCAAAGGGGTATAACGAAATTAACGGCAAAGCAAACTGTCCAGCAGTAACGAAAAGAACGGAGTGCAAGCACTCGGGAGAGAAAGAGAAAGAAGCGATCGAACAAAACCAGCTAGACGCTAGACCATGGATTGAAGTGTCAAAATTGAGGGATAAGAGAAAGAGAGAGCAAAACCACAAGTCGGACAGAAAACAAAGATGGATATATGAATCTAGACCTGTTCGACGAAATATGTTACCGGCACAATCCTTCCACAAAGCACGTGGCATGCCATGGAAGTAGAAGCTACCGAAAAGGGGTCACCGTCTCAGGATAGTTCGAGAACCCGCGGTTAAGCACAGAGGGGCATCAGAAACAACTTGATGGACCGCCAGATAGGTGAGATTCGATATCCAAACTCCTGGATCCTCATGTGGCAAGCCAGAGGAGATGGGATAAGCAAGGGGTTGTTGACAGCCATCTAGAACCCCGGCAGGAAGGCCTCCCGCTTCCACTCACACCTTGGACCATCCATTCTCCTTCCGTCTCGGCATAGTCATTTCTGTTATTCTAGGAGTTCGATGTCTCCATGAAGATATTGAAGCACTGGTGCTAAGGTGAGGATCCAGATATCTGAGACGTAGTGTAGTAACAGCCCTGTTAGTGATGAAACCAGACTGTTACCCAACCGAGCACGGACATTAGATGTTAGCGAAACGAAGGGGTAACATCCTACCACACACATGTTGCGGATCATAGTCGTTTTGTTATCGAAACAAAAGGTACGAAACATCCAAACTTCTTGTCATTGTTTTCACTCAAGGTTCAGAAGCTGACATCGAAAGGTTTCTCGGGAACTAGACAAGCTTTCGAGATCCAGCTTGCTACCTGCTTACAAGAAGAATTAAGAGAGTTTCCTTGTCCTACAGCTGAACGACTCTTTTTGCAAACTTCGAGAACACATTAAGAGACCTCGAGACGAGTGACCTAGCAGACACATACACTGCATGACATTCAGTATCTCTCAAGGCTTGAATCAACAGCTCAAGAAAATTCTCTCGATGATCTGTGGGTAATGGGCGAGTAAGAAGCACTTCCGATTCAACAAGAGGCAAATGAAAACCAAGTACCTTAGTAAAATACAATACATTCAACATGAAACAACCAAACCGACAGGCTCGATCCCAAGTCTAAACCTCGCCTTCCACACAACAACATCCTCACGACCCCGGCACACCAGCCCGAATGTTAGCATACCTACTAGCCGGATACGACAACAAATTCTTCGTCTGATCCAGCCTCTTCATCTGAGTCGCCAATGTCCCAATCAAGCTCTTCGCACCAGTCTTATCGCCACTCGCCTCCCAGAACACCGCGCCGCCCAGTCCCCTGAGGAAGATGTACTTCGTCTTCACCAGAGCGCTCAGGACATTGTCATACGAGATGAGCTCCCGCGAGGCTGCGTCGTAGCTGTAACTGGCCTTGGCCACGTTATCGTACTCCTCCTTCGCCCCGGGCCGCGGAAGGTCTCTGTAGACCCACGTCCCTGGCTCCAACGTGCCAGCGCCGATGCCGTTGTACGGCTTACCCAGTCCGTCGGTGTTCTCGAACGAGCGCCCGTAGAAGGGCAAGCCGAGGACGATCTTGCTTGCGGGAATGCCGCGCCGGATGAAGTCGCGGACGGCCTGGTCGGTGTTGAATTTGGTACTCAGAAGGTTCTTGGGGTTGGAGAGGAGGTTGGCCTGGTGTCCCGTGGTCGAGTCCCATGAGCCAGCATAATCGTACGCCATCAGATGCCAGGAGTCAATGTACGGGTTCATGCCGGGAAGGTCCATGACGCCGTAGTGTTGGGGTCCGGCGGGCGCAGCGATGGTGATGAGGAAGTGGTAGCCGGGGGCATATTGTCGAGCGTAGTCGTCGAGGGCTTGTCGGCAGGCTCGGAGGAGGAGGACGAAGTTCCGTGCTTCGAGCGCGTTGGTTGGGTACTCCCAATCGATATCGAGGCCGTCGAAGCCCCAATCTGAAAGGCTAGGTTAGATTTCTTCGTGCTCTTCCTAGTGGGTAGAAGTACCGCGGTGCTCACTCACCTTGCACAAGCTTCACGGCGGAAGAAGCAAACCTCCGTCGTCCTTCCTCGGTAGCGGCAACTGGAGGAAACTTGGGTGAATATGTCCATCCGCCAATGGAAAGGAGGACTTTCATATTTCTGTTCTTCTTCTTGAGAAGGTACATCTGCTTGACGCAGCCGTAGGCATTCTCGCCTGGTTCACTCCATGAGTCGCCAGGATAATGCTTCTCTAAGTCTGCATAAGTGTCCGAAGATACTCTGCCAAGCGTTAGTATTCTTTCAGAGTCTGTAGGGTGATGTTTGTACCGTGAAACTTACACTTGTCCATCCGGCTTGATATCTGCGAAAGAGTACAACACGTGGGTTATCTGTGAAGCGGGAAGCTGTTGGGGTTGGAAATTGGCACCGTAGATACCCCTGTGATGGTTAGTCTACCTGTCCTCATTTTTTCTGACTGGAGATGGTTAGTAACCTACCAATTTGTGAAGTAAACGGCATTGCGATATGAAGACACTGTGGTGTTCCCGGCAGCTGAGCTCTGGGACTGACTAGCTCCAGCTGCTGCGGGCGTTGATATGGACAACAGAGGGATGAGGTAGGTCAAGATAGAAGACAACATGATTGCTACAGCCGTGGAAATCTCCTCGCCAAACAGTAGCATGAGTCGACAAGGAGCACATCAATACCGCTTCCTACCTAGGGTTTTATAGAAAGGGGCCATCCATCTCGACAAAACCCAATTCCCGCTTCGTAATTTCCGAGAATCCGTGGAGAATGTCCTTGCCCTCGCGATACATCACGTCGCCAGGTAAGACAGACCCGTGAAGCGTTGGAATGCGAACTCGCGTGCTTCCAGCCCTTGTCTCGTGTCTATGCTCTAGATTCTTTGGACTCCCAAAAGTGGCGGGAATGCCTTCAAGATACTGGAAGTGGCAGATGTTAGACCTTCAGTGTCCTATCATCACTTTCAGATCATAAGATATCGTGCACTTCAGCAAAAGCTAAAAGAGCAAAAGACCACATAAACAGACCAACAGATGAGAACTATCTCATGACAAGTACTTTATCCCTTGACGAATGTTTATTGTTCACTTTGAAATAGAAAAATATGGACCATACTATTAATAGTGTCTGTACCTCAACAGTCATCGAAGAGAGAACAGCTGCAATTAATGAAGATGTCCCGGTATCAGATATTTGAATTTCCAAGCGTGTTGGAACTCACACGTGAAATACCAGACGCGGCACTATCACGCGTAAAGTGCAACATTCCAATGACCAAGGGCATTCGGTGGAACAAGACGATAGCTCTGAATATCCCTCTACGTCATGCCAACGCTCCCTTCAGGGACGCCGTCGACTGAGTGTGAGAGACACTACTCTATCAAGTAATGGGTTCTCATCCACTCGACATGGCTTATCCCCAGCCCACTTCTGGACTTCACAGTGATCCTTTTATTGAAGTCACAAAATCGGATCGCACCCAGGTCATTCCAGTAAGCTAGGCGTGAACTCCATAACCTCCGTTAAAAGCCCAACCTCCAATACCAGTATCGTCCATGCCAACCCGTGCCCGCCGCTACCTGTGTAATATCCTCCACTACATCATCGCTTTTTCCTCGTTGATAGTTGGTCTGTATAAGATACACACTCATTAGCCCCAACCCTCGCCATCACCAGAGCCAAAAAAACACTCAGTCCCCCAAGGGAAAATAGGAAGCAACACAACTTACAACTTATGCAATACCGTCCCACCCCTATGGTACCCAAGTCCCAACGTTCCTCTAGCCTCCCTCTCCTCCTCCATCCTCCTCTCCACCCCCATAAGCAAAACCGGCATCACCGCATACATGACCATCCAACCTCCCCAAGCCACGCCTGCCACGCTCTTCATCTCCTCCCACACCCACCCTCCAAACCCTTCCTCATACAGCGCAAAGGCGACCACCATCTCGGCCGAGACCATGAATGCCAGCGCCATGGAACAGATGGCTAACCTGAAATGGGCGACGCGGGGAACCTCATAGTGGCGGAGGATGAGGTGGGCCCATGTTGCTGAGGTGATGGTTAGGAGAATGGTCAGGAGGAGGATGTGGTTGTTTAGGGGGTCGGAGGTGGATGTGGAGAGGAAGTGAGCGAAGGTGGTAATGGGTAGGAGTTCGGCGTAGGCGAGGTAGCTGAGTAAAATGCTGGAGAGGAAGGTGAGAAGGAAGTAGTAGAAGGAGATGCGGATGACAAAGAAGGCGAGGGCGATGTCCCAGAGGACTTCTATGATGGAGTCGGTTGTTTCGAATAATAGCCAGGAGCCCTCCATAAGCTAGGTGTCTTGATGGTCTGTAGTGTGATATGGGCAGTGTTTTTGGTAATGCGATTGTCCTCGGATGGGTTGAAGACTAGTATGTCACCGCCGTAAGTGGTGCGTATGTGTTTGTGTGTGTGTGAATGGAGATGAGGCAAAACAGTTGCCAATTGAGCAGTAATCAATGTATGGTAAACTTGTTACGAATGACTTTTTCCACACCATTGGCCTGTAGAGCATCTATATATCCATTGTGGCCCAAACCTATACCGAGGCGACGTCGATGCTCAATCTGGTGACAGGAACAAGCCCCCTCACGGGACAGGAGATGGGCTGACTTGTATGGCCTGACACACTGAGCTGCCCATTCAGACAGGCCATTGGAAAGTAACATCACCACAGAGAACCACTGAGCCACTGTAAACGCCAGGAGTCAAGACTAGACCATCTTTTGCCAGTTATCGTAACGAACAAAGCTGTGTCAATGCAGTCGTACAGACATGTAATGTTGACACCACCTCAACCAAAAGGGGTAGGTGGTTTACAATTAAGCCGCCCGGTCGCTGTGTCAAACCCCTGGACTTCATAGACAAGGACGTACCAAAACATGAACCCGGCGCTATGAAAAGGCATCCAACACGATACAGGACAAAATCTAATTTATAACCATATCCCCAAACTCCCGTCGTCGCTTATCTTGGGTATCGTCTGTATTTGCCTCCATGGAGAAAAGAGAGGTTTTCGTTGCGCATTGCTTTAATTGAGTTGAAGTTGTCCAAGCACGGCAAGGCGTGCTTAGAGTCCGGTCTTGGCCAGTTTCTGCGCAAGCTCATCAACCTCCTTGTCCTTGACCTGAACAACTGGCTCTTCCTGAGCCTCCTCGGCTTCCTTGATGAGCTTCTCTGCCCTCTCTTCGACATCCTCCTCCTCCTCCGATTCCTCCTCTTCCTCTTCCTCCTCCGATTCTTCCTCCTCAAGGTCGCTCAGGCTGTCAAGGCCCCACTCGTCCTCGGCGACAACATCGCCACCAAACTGCTCCTTGCGCTCCTCGAGAAGGTCTTGGAGAGCAATGATGGCCTCATCATCCTCGGTGAACTTGTTGCCGTTGAGTTCGATTTTCTTCAAGGCAGGAAGAGCCTCCTCAGCGGCCTGAGCCAGGCCCTTAATACCAGGGGCGGTGATCTCGTTGTACTGGAGGCGCAGGATCTCGAGCTTCTTGTTCTTTCCCTTCAGAAGCGCCTCCGACAGAAGGACACCGCCCTTGGCAGAAAGAAGAGAGTCACCGATGCCGAGTTCGATGAGCTCAGTCCAGCCGGGGGTCACCTTCGCAAGAGCCTTAGCTCCCTTGAGGGTGAAGGTGTTGTCCTGGAGGTCGAGAATCTGGAGCTCAGAAGCGTGGTTGAGACCCTCGCTCAGCAGATGGGAGATACCCTCTTGGCGAATACCGTTCTGGACCATCTTGATCTGCTTAACCTTGTTATGCAGCCTGAAAGTCTTGGCCCACGCGGTCATACTGCCGTTCTCCAGACGGTTACGGCCGCAAATGACGGTCTCGAGGTAAGGAACATCCTGTCCCTGCTTGCGCGCTTCTTCCTTCTTGGCGTGAAGTTCGGACAGAGCGTCGGCAATCAAAATACCAGCGTGGGGACCAAGGCCATTGTTGTTCAGGTACAAGTGCTGGAGAGGGACGTGTGCGGCGAGGAAGGCAACAAGGGGCGCCTGGGTGTTGAGGCCGAAGGCATTGTCGTTAAGGTTTATCGTGTTCAACTTGGGGAGGTTGAGGATGGAGGTGAGGAGCGAGGAAAGGGCCTCGGGGATCTCGTTGAGCAGACGGCCGGTGAAGATATCGGCGAAGTTGGCAACCTAACAGGCAACAGTTGGTTAGCCGCCGTTCTTTCTCGTAATGCGCCGGGGTGCAAATATGCGCTTGGGAACAGTTGGACATACACGAAGAGTCTTCTTGGTGGCGAGAACCTCACCAAGCAACTTGCAAGCACCGACGCCCAAGGTGTTTCCCAAAAGGCGGACTTCCTCGACATCGTCCATGGCCCGGAGGGGGGCGATATGGGCCTCGAGGTCCTCGGCGGTGTCGAGCTTCAGACCTTTCCCCTCGAGGGAGAAGACCTTGGTAGAGGCGGCCATTATGCAAAATGTGTATAAGAAAAAGCGGACGTAGTATGGGGACGAACTCGAGTAGTACAAAGCAGACGGAAAGACGGTGGAAGCGGAAGGGAGTTGGAAATCGCGTCGACGCGGTGGATGAGTGCAGGACAGAAATACAAGTGCGCTCAAACCGCCCCAAGTTCTAGCGGGGGAGGGGTTGACAAAAACTGCCACAGCGGCCGGGTCTAGGCGCTTCTCGCGCCTGTAGGCGTATCATGCTGTAGTGGGGCATCGGTTGGGCAGCCAGCGAATGGGATGACGCACTTGAAGAGGTGAGCTGGCTGGTCGCGAAGATCATGAACAGGGGGAGGCGATTGCCCAACACCACCCTGGCGCGACGTCGCCCTTCTGAAAGTTGCGGCCGACGGCAGGCGCATTGGGGACCCATCAAGCCTACCGTAGACGGGACAGCTCCGCGTCGACAAACCTGGGGAAATTGAAAGAGGTTCATCGCAGACACGGCTGCTCCTTTGATTTAACGATTCTCCTCTAGTTCCCCCGCTCGGCTTTTCTCTCACGTCAAATTAGTTTCCACGAGACCAGGAGCAATCAGGGCAACGCTATAACAAATTCCCACGGACCCCGTTACGAAATCGACGTCCGACATCTACTCGTGGCGCGACGCCATTCAGCACCATCGCCAGCAACTATCATCAGCAACCACGGCGGCTTATCACCACATCTCTCCCTCTTTCACATATTCGCCCTGTTGAACGGGCGCACACCTTGATACAATCAATCCACCCGGTTCTCTATAAACGAATACTCAGCCACAATGACGAGGGAATATTCCCCTGTAGACGACTCGCCGTTGTCATCAATGGCGTCGTCCGACGAGGAAGAGATTTTCGCGGACGAGGTACCAGAAGCCGTCGACGAACCAGAGGAGCCCCCAACGAAGCGTATCAAAGTCACCACCGGGTCGACAGCTTCATCAGCCGTTATCCAAGAACCCGAGGCGGATCCAGACTTCCCAGACGGCATGTCCGATGTCTCTTCCGATACCGATGGCGACATTCCCAGTTCCCCAATCAATGCGCGACAAGACGAAGATGATTTTCAGGAACAAGTCACTATCTGTGCTTGGGAAGGCTGCAAGGTTGGGGATTTGGGCAATATGGATAGGCTCGTTGAGCACATCCACAACTCGCACATCGAAGGTCGCCAGAAAAAGTACACGTGCGAATGGATTGGGTGTAGTAGGAAGAGTCTACCTCATGCCAGCGGCTACGCGCTCAAGGCGCACATGCGATCTCACACAAGGGAAAAGCCATTTTACTGTTATTTGCCAGGTAAGGTGCCCTCCTCTTTGGCAGCTGGAAGATGGATGGCCTTCTAATTACTAACCCGACGTACCAGAATGCGACCGCGCTTTCACACGTTCCGATGCCCTAGCCAAACACATGCGGACAGTCCACGAGACCGAAGCTCTGCGGCCTTCGGACCCGGTGCCCAAGAGTATGCAAGCAGGCGGCGGCCCGGCTGGGAAGTCGGCCAAGGTGAAGATCATAATCCGAAGGCCGGACTCTCATGCAGCCGGACAAGACGACTCAGTTGACGATGCTAGCGGCGGAGACGACGGGGCCGACTTTACGCCTTTGACTGAAGATCAAGGTTTCACGTCTAAGGAGCTCGACATGCCTCTCGACAGGTTGATGAAGCTGTGTCGACTACAAGTCAAGTTAGTGGAAGCGGAAGGCGAGAAGCTGCGCAAGGACTGCAAACGCTGGGAAGAGCTGTACAAGCAGGAGTGGCTCGAGAAGGAAATACTTCTGGATCAGGTCGTACGCAGCGAACAGGCCTGGCACGCACGCCGTCAGGCCGTGCTAAAAGGCATGGCGGACGTTCAGCTGCCGGAGAAGGCTGTGGCAAACGGGACAGCTGGTGATGACGATGCGCCGGAGACCGCCAGACTTACTGTTGAGGAATAGGCGCCGATTCAGCGCTGGTAGGGCTTAGGTGCCGTACCGGGCAAATACTTCAAAGGCAACCACACCGTCTGTTACTGTTACTTATGCGTCAAGGGTTTTGGAAGGCCTTGTTACACTCCTATAAGCCGTGGCTTGGCCTCTAGAAAGGAATAACAAGGCCTTACTTGGCATCTTGTAACACTCCGCTGGGGAGTGTACAACTCTACAGCGGCTGCTGGCCTTCTTCCCTTCGTTTCTTTTTCGTTTCCCGTTGGAATATTGCGATGAGCATTACTTAATGATATGCGGTGTATGGAGTAAAGGGGATACAATGGAGCATGGCTATGGGTTATCGATGACTTGTGGGTAAAAGGGGTTCATAGTTCCGCCAACAGCTCTTTACAGAATCAATGGATGACTGCCTTTTGTTGAAGCAGGTTTAACCTTCACATGGCTGTTGTTTTATGAATCTGCTGGAAGCAAACATTTGGACATATCGAACGCAGCATTATTCAACTGGCGCCTTGAACGTAGGAGCGGGGAGCAAGGATGTGTACATCAACCAAGTGTGTGCACATGTTTCTGTAGTTGAAAAACCCTTGAATTTCAATAACCGCAATGCTTCGCCAAGTGATCAAAGCGACCTATAAAGTACACACACAGGCAAGGTTGATAAACACAACCCAAACCGAAAATAGTAGCCCCTGAGGTCTCACCAAACTCCAGGAATGCAAAGTAATCATCAGGTCAGGAACCCTTCCTTTCAAGGGACCCCCTTTCTCTTAGTACACACGCAACAGAACTCAAAACAATCAAGCTGATTGCTTAGATCGCCTTGCGAGTAACCCTCTTCTTGTCACCATCAAATCTCTTCTCAGCCTCGGCATTCTTGAAGGGAAAGTTGCTCGTCCTCTTGTCAGCACCGGTCGCAGCATTGACCTTGGCGTGCTCGTTGGCGAACATGCAGAGCCACAGGGCGTAGGCGGACATGATGGCGCTGCCAGTGAAGCCGAGCAGGTAGCCGACGTGGCCGCCGCTGCTGGTGTAGCGGCTGTAGCCGTAGGCGGCGCCGATGACGTGGTAGAACATGGAGATGAAGACGACGGCGTTGGCGTAGGGGGAGTTGGCGTCGTCTGGGGCTGTGGAGGGGGTGGAGAGGTTAGCATGTTATTCTTCGCGTCCTTGGCCAAGGAAACCCTTGACAATGCGAAGGGGGCTAAGAATGGTGGGTGGGCGAAACTTACAGGTCACCTTGGTGGTGAGTGGTAGAGCACCGGATAGGGTGACGATGAGGAGGCCGATGGCCAATTGGGAGAAACCGAGGTAGCGGGCAAAGTATGTCTCAACGACATTTACCACAGCAGGAGCATGAGCGTGTCCGCCGTTCTCTGTGAGCATCGAGCTGATGAAGGTTGGCCAAACGATAAGCGGCACTGCCTGAAGGGAGAGCCAGCCCAGACTCGCAAACGCGTATGTTGAGATGGACTAGAGACGGTCAGAACATACCACTCGAATGTTCGATTTCCTGAAGGCTTTCCTATCACTTACATCGTTCCCCATGATTGCTGATGAGTAGATTTGTTGTTGAGTGGAAGATGAATGTTCAAGGATCTGAGTCCGAATGGTGTTGACGAATGTGTCTGTTGTTTATTATGGAAGGAAGAATATGGGTAAGCAAAAGGGAAGGAAGCTACACAAAGCTGACACCGTCACATTCTTATAAACAAAACAATGCCGTCTCCAATGACGAATTGGAGCTCCGGCAACCCAGGCACGACCTGAACGACCAGCACTACACCATGGAACGTGAAAGGTACCTGTCACTAGCCGATCATCAATTAAAGGTACTACGTCATCGATAACGACTGCAGCCTCATGCCAAGCCCCTGCTGATAATCGGCGCCTGCCGGGAGATCCCTGCGCGGCTAAGATCGGGCACATCTGGCGGCTTGGCAGCGGAAGAGTGGGGGAGGGGTCCGACGGCGGGGGACTTCAAGGTTCGAATTTGTCAGAGACAGTTCTGACAGTGACAGGAAACCGCCACTGAGCAAAAGCCGATCTCGCATTGGACCCCCGCACGTCCAATCAAGCCCCGAGGAAATGTCAATTTCAAAAGTAGTAACCATCTTGTGACTGTCGCCATCTACATCAAATCTTCTTGGGCAAGAAACAAACCCAAATTTGAACGAGGTTGATTCCTTCTCGTTGCTTAAACTATCGAAGTCTTTTTCTAAATAACAGCCCGTTCGCGGTTTTCTGGGGTTAGCGTGGCAAAGGAACAAACTTGCGAACAAACCTGCGACTGGATTGATTTGTAAGAGCCAGTAGGCCGGCGCATTTGACTTCGCTTTCGAATTCCTACTTCTCGACACCTTTTCTACCGACCGCGTCCGACATCAACCGTTGACCTTCGCAATACGACCTTCAGGCTCTTAGCCTGATCATTCACGATGTCCGCGATCCTCTCCGTTGACGACCTCAACGACTTCATCAGCCCAGGCGTAGCCTGCATCAAGCCCATCGAGACCCTACCGACCGCTGCGCCGGCCGCGAGCGACGCCAACCCCTCCAACGAATTCGAGGTTATACTCGACGGCCAGCAACCAGAGGCCAAGAGCAATGCTCCCCCGGCCGAAATCTCGCTTACCGACTGCCTCGCCTGCTCCGGCTGCGTAACGTCCGCCGAGGCGGTACTAGTCAGTCTACAGAGTCACAATGAGGTTCTCAACATGCTGGACTCCGCCCCGGCCTTAAAGCTGGTAGGCCCTGGCGCGGACGGGAAGTACTCGGTTGAAGGCCTAGAAAACAGCGACGGGAAGCTATACGTTGCCAGCGTCTCCCCTCAGAGCAGAGCCAGTCTGGCTGCAGCGTGCGGCAATGGTGTTACAGAGCAGCAAGCCAGTCGCATGATCGAACAACTCTTCCTGGGTGAACAGGGTCTGGCAAGAGGTGGAAAGTGGGGGAACAAGTTCACGTGGGTGGTGGACACAAACACGGCGCGGGAGACAACTCTTGTCCTTGGGTCTGACGAAGTACTTGGAGGTTCGATAGCGCCGTCCGACAGGGCTGCTACACCAGTTCTCACTGCTTCGTGCCCTGGTTGGGTATGCTATGCCGAAAAGACACACCCCTACGTACTACCGCACCTTTCCCGGGTAAAATCACCACAGGCACTCATGGGCACCCTCCTGAAAACATCCCTCAGCCGCATCCTTAATATCTCCCCTGACAGGATATGGCACTTGGCTGTGATGCCATGTTTCGACAAGAAGCTCGAGGCCAGTCGCGAAGAGTTGACGGATGCTGTCTGGGCTGGGGACGGCAAGCCGGGCAGAGGTGTACGAGACGTCGACTGCGTTATTACAAGCAAGGAGATTCTTATGCTTGCCGCATCCAGAGGCCTTGACTTTTTCGGTCTGCCGGCCTCGGCGCCGCCCCAAACTCCCCGATTTCCTGACCCATCAATACACGACTTCCTATTCCGGCCCGGTCACCGTCAACAGTCACGCGAAGCTGGCACATCCGGTGGTAACATGCACTTCATCCTTCGCCACTTGCAAGCGAAGAATCCTGGCTCCCAGATACAGACAGTACCAGGGAGGAACGCCGACGTTGTTGAATACAAGGTGGTTGCGAAATCGGGCGAGGTTATGTTCAAGGCGGCGCGATATTATGGCTTCCGAAATATTCAGAATTTGGTCCGCAAGCTGAAACCCGCAAAGGCATCCCGAATGCCTGGCGGAAAGCCGTTTGGTAGCGCCAAGAGACCGGCAGGCAAAGGTAACGGTTTGGACTACGGCTATGTTGAGGTAATGGCTTGTCCAGGCGGCTGTACCAATGGAGGTGGCCAGATAAAGGTAGATGACCCGGTGGTAGTTGACCGGAAGGGTCTCGCTGTAAAACCAGGACCCCTGGAACAGAAGGAGTGGCAGAAAGAAGTCGATGAAGCGTACTTCTCGGGAGGCGAGCCAGACTCGGGAGCCCAGGATGATAGTTCCGATCCGGATGTTGATGGCATTTCGCCTTCGCATATCAGAAATGTCTTGACCCACTGGTCAACATTGACGGGGATAAAGCTGGAAAGACTGGCGTATACAAGCTACCGGGAGGTTGTCAGTGACGTTGGCAAGGAGAAGAAGATGACTGATACTGAGAGAGTCGTCCAGCTCGCGGGGAAGATTGGCGGAGGCTGGTAGAGCGCCGCGCACAAGGTTAGACACCTATCGGAGGATCGTCAATATGAATAATAGAACTCATCCCGCTTGGCCTCCACGACGAGCGAACCCAAATCCTGCTCTTCCACTGTTATCTGGGCCTCTCGGTGCCCTGATGACTTGATCTTCATCCCGCCGAGAATTTGATGTGCTAAGGTTCGGAGAGGCCTCTCCGGACCGCCTCTGGCCGCTTGAGCCTGGCTTTGCCGAATAGTTTGGGTCGAACAGCTCTCTGGGAGCTGATTGTTGGTTGAACGGTAGGCGGCGAGTCTGGCTTTCCGGTCGGCTGTCGGTACGATGCATACCTCCGCGTCCTCTTCCTCGCTTGTGGTTTTGTCTGTCGCTGCGGGGCCTGTCGGCCTTGTCGGTCTCCTTCGGCGGCGTAACGCTTCCGGGTGTTGACAATCCGGAGGAAGGACTTGCTTCGCCAAAGATCTTCGCTCGTGCCTCCTCGTATCGCCGTTGCTTTTCCTCCAATTCTCGTTGTTGACGCATCCGGATCTCTTCTGGCGTCTCTTGCTTTTTGCTCTTGTCCTCGTCATCGTCCTCGTCGTCCTGTAGCGTTAATCGCTCTAGTCCAGTCACCGGATCTCTTTTCGCAATTACCGGTCTGCGGCTGAGGACCTTCATGGCTGGCTTGAAAGGCGTAGTAAGGGGCACCGAGCTGGTCGCCGCGAGAAAATTGATCTCCTTTTCCGATTCCCTGAGCAGCGAGTTAACAAGGTCCATTGTCTGTAGGAAGATGTTGAATATTAGTGGAAGGGGATCCTACGCTGCTTCCCATAGCTTCCGCTGTGCCTCGGCGTGCATAGCTAATCTTTCTGCCTTTGTCATTTTAACTTCCTTCTCTGGCTCTGGCGATGGTCGTCCTTCGGCCGCACGGTCCGCTAAAGATTCCCAATCATCATCCCAGGCGTCAGGGACGCTGTCGTTCTTGCCCATGGTTGAAGGTGCTGTGCCGAGTGATATAGGGTAGGTGGATAATGGTCCAAAAGATCTGTGGCACAGAGTCGCGATTGATGTCCCATGTAAGAATATTTACACGGCAATGGATGAAAGTTAGGACAAACACTTGAACCGAGTTGAAGGAGGGATGAATTGTGTGTTCGGGGACAAAGAGAAGTTAAAACAGCTCCAGGGGTGTGGTGCTTGCGCAGTTCGCTGCACATGCAGCAGTTGCACCCACCACAGGGTACCTGAAAGTGGGGCATTTATGCCAAGATCACCAGCACACCCAAGCACTTGTGCACGGGCTCCACGCTCAACTCGGACGGGCTGATAGCGCCTCAACACCTTGACCTCACGTCGTTGGCAAGCTGGAGATGTTGCATTCCTTAACATCTACTGACTAGGTAGTTAAGAGTACTCAGTTCTAAAGCAGAATACTACGCCTAATCTCAGTTTCAGATCTTTTTCCATTGGTTGTACATGACAGTACACTTTCCCAATTCTCAAGAGACGCTGTGTCTTGAAATCGTATGTTTCCTTGCAGCATGCAAAGTTGGCAGGTAGGAACGGCTACCGCAGGGCAAGTTCGATGGATGTTAGTGCCCTCTGTTTGTTCTCATCTGTTAGGTTTGTCCCCACTTGCTTCATCCTTGTAAATACCTTCCTGCAGTGACCTCGAACTTCAACAGGTACAATAGACACTCTCCCCTACGACCGTTCTCATCAAATCCTCTTCGTAAGACACATTGTTTGCAAAGTCACCCAAAACCTCAAATTTCTTCTTCTAAAGAAAAAGTTCCCTTGTTACAACGTACAAGTTCCGAAGATGAACTCGGACGAGTTGATGCCCGATTCGGCTGCGGATGCCATCCCCGCCAACAACAGCAACGGCAACGGTAACAGCAGCGCTGCAGTTACATGGAACACCAAGAAGTTCAGGGTCGACTATGATATGATCCAAATAAGATTGACGGATCAGAGATTCAGCTCAAGTAAGTAGAGATGTCCAATCCGCTCTTTTCTCGGTACCGATTATCCAGCCAGTCAACCCACCACCACCATCTCTTCCCACCATCACTGTTCCCAAATACATCCATCCCTTGGTTGAAGTCCGGTGTATGGCCAATGTTCGTTCTTACTGGTGTTCAAAGAACGGACACATTTCCATGATGAATTCTTCTGGCACATATTCTAACACCTAATCCCCGTCCAACAACAGCCAACTTCAGAGACCCCCTCATGCCGTGTCCTCCCCATCACAAGCAGTACCCAGGACATACCACACCTGCAACGGAGAAGCGTCTGAAGGAGTTGATAACCAGGATCAAAGATGGCTCTGGTGGTGATTTTTAGATGACAGGTGCCTAGGTATCGTGGAAGCACAGAGGAATGAAAGGGATATTCTATTTTACGTTCTGTATACACCTAGCTGGGGAATGCATTCACTTCGTCGTGGACACTTTGCAACCGCTTGGGTCGATGGGGTGTTTTAAGAGAACGCAACGGCACTCACGGGATGTCACTCAGTGTAGGAGGACTTGGCATGACAACTCTGACATACGAAATTCAACAGATGATTTTCCGCTTAGCGCATCTATTCATACGCACTCGAATCTCTTCAGGTTGCAGAGCAGTATACACGTCCTCCAGGATTAAAGTAGTCACAAAGAACCACTTACACATCTCTTCCATTCGCCCATTCAGTTTCGCTGAAACAAGTCACTAGCATCGCCTCGTCTCTTCGCAAGCACATGCATCAACTTGTGCACCCCAGGTCTAGAACATCTTTTTCCCCGGCTAGATGAGAGATCGAATACGGTCACTCCTAGTCATTAAAATTGTCTTCCCCTCCCGAATCCATGGGACACAAATATCATATGCAAGTGATTGTTATCACAACGCGGGAGCTTACTGTCCAAATGCGCGGCCAACCGCTTCTGAATCCTGATCCTTCCTTCTGACCACTCATTATCTGGAAGCGACCCTTGGAAGAACTGAACTGCACAGACAGCTGAGTGACGGGCTGGATTATGGGAAAGAGATATGATAGGGGAGTATGTATGTATCTACCCTACTTTCCGTGGTTCGTCTGGCCCACCTATATACCGATAATCATAATCCTATAGAGAGTCTTGTGTAACATTCCAAATGAGAAGAGGCAAGAGGCAAGCTATACATCGCAAAGATAGGTAGGTAGTGTGTGACATGTCCTGTGAAGCTGGTTTACTAATCGCCAACACCTAAGCAAGAGGAAGATAGTAGAAATACTACCTCTACATATCAGACCGAGATCAGGGTTCTACCTATCGGTAGATACAGGTATAGTTCTCACCAGGGGCGGTTTGATAAAGCAATGCAACAGAAAGCATGACAGAGTGGCACTATAAGGGCCGATGCAGGAGCGGGTAGGGTGTGTGTCGACGGAGTGCCTGCTCATGTGCGGTTCAGTAAAGTGGTTGAATGGAGGCTTCGATCCGGTTTCAGTTCTCAAGGACGATCTTAAATTCATCACAGATACTGAATCCGGGCTAAAGAGTATGTTATTGTGTGACCGTCAGAGCTCGCAGTTATGCCATGTCGGAGTTTGCACAGCGGCATGCGACGGCGCTCGATGACGATAGAGGAGAAGGTATTCCGGATGGATTTCTCTGATTACGTGCCGTGGACTGAGTGAGGAGTTGCCTGATCTTTCTGAACTTTCTGTGTCGTGTACATATCCGTCCAGTACCTAACAACCTGACAAGTAGGTAGGTAGCTTTAAAGCGACCGACAGCTGACTCGTCTGAACTCAGCAAACATGCTTGTAGTATAGGAGAACTCTCCCCGCGGAAGTACGACACTGTGAGGAGGTAGAAGGAAGACATGCAGAGTTTGAGGCATGTTTATCCACATCGGTCGTGAAGTACGGCTGGGCCGTCAGGTCGTGGAGACTCTAGATCCAAGATCTGTCCCGAGAAGCGCCATGTCTTTACTTCTGCGCTTCCCCCAAGTAGACTTATTGAACGGTAAGTATAGCCGAGAAACTGGATGCTCAAAGCGCAATGGCAGGTAGGAAATCCATGCCGTGTGGCATCCTTCATCATCCACCTAGGTACATATGCTATTGTAGTGCCGCTGCTGAGACGGACAAGTACCTTGACGACCTTTTTGACATTCATATTTCCGCAACACCACTATTCAATATCTAGGTTAATGCTGTAGTGTTTTGACGGTTGTTCCCCGGGGAGACTGGAATTTAGTCGACAAGAATTTGCTGGTATCAAACCAGATGCCGCCTGGATAAACTCCATACTTCGCTGAGCTCCTGGCAGGACCAACGCTTGATGGCTGCGATGCCTGTTGACCTGTGTCTCATCTGTCGTCACCCGCGAGGGTCCTAGACACCCGAACGTGCCGAATATAAATCGAGGCGGTGGAAGTATGTTGTAATTAGAAGGGGGCGAGTTGCGAACTTTGTTCATTGGTTCTCATGATGCTGGGTTGAAAGGCGGAATCTCTTCGAGTTGCGTTGTCTTCAAGCCCCAAAGAGGTCATAGAAGCGGTGATGCTAACGCGGCGGCGGTAGAGAATTATTTCAAAACCGCCATCCTCCTCTTTATGACGTGCCCCCTTGCAGCTTGCCTCCCGAACGAGATCTGTGGTACGTACCTAGAACCCTTACAACTCCGACCGGGACATGCGAGGGGGCAGAATCGACAATCCTCTTTTTCATACGTGTCCGGCGGCCATCATGTTTTCCCCTGTCAATAACCAACAGATTTTTCGAGGCCGCCTTTGAACGTTCACGATCCGGTCACCGAGTTTTATCATTGCATCCTGGTTCCTGTCCTCCCAACAAACACCAACACCGTACTGTGTACAGTCCCTTTTGTCCATCCTATGCCATCTGCAGGGCCCAGGTCCTATGATTTGTATCCAATCTGCCATTCTGCCTAGAGCACTTCTATGTGCATGAGGTACAGCTACATCGATCCCTCACCACACGTTGCCTCCGAGAATCGATCAAGTTATCTTGGACCCTCTCTAGCGCAGCAGATGCAGATTTTGGCAGATTTTGAGGTTGGAGTGATGTGTTTGGGTGTTTGGTCGGTGGAAACTCCACATGCGCATTGCCCAACCCTGCGCGGAGTTGAATATACGGAGTATCTTCCCCTCTTCGGTGCTTGCCAACCACCGAAACAAGATTTGAACAGAGGAGGAAGAGGAGCCTGCAGACCGTGGTGATAGATAAAGACGCAGCGGGAACGACCGGACTGGGCAACGAGTTACGAGAGGACAAAGTCCCAGGACTAGGTGAAGCGGGTATTGTTGGGCGGCTATCACAGGCCTTCGTCGACTGAAGTTTTGAACCCCGCTGCTTCTAGTCCCAGGCCAACACTGGGCTGGAAGTTGGGTCGGACCTGCCCTTTCTAGCGTCCTGTCTCTTTTGACTGGACGACGTTGGCTTTTCCCCGAAAACGAGGGTCGGTCCCGTCTCCGCCCGCTAGGAGGTCATCTTCTGCCCCACTTCTTGACAACCTGCCCGAGTGGATTTCTCGAGTTCTGGCACTGTTTCCTCGGGTACCAAACAGAAGAGACAGCGCGCACGGCGGGCATATCAGTACCAGGAAGCGCGCGGCGTAGCCTTTCAGTTGTGCAGGTGTGCTTTTTGGGCACAAGTGGAAGCCTCCATTCATACAGGGCAGCCCGTTCAGGTTGCCGTCGGTTCGGGTTTCGTGGTCGGTGCCTCCATTCACCTTCGACTAGCACCGGCAAGTGGAACTTTTAATGCTGGGCTGCTCCCACCCAAAATGGAAAGCCCCTCTCCCGCTACACTACTAGACTCTCGTCTTACCCCGCGACCTTTTTAACTGCCACCACAACCATCCGAGTCTGACAGGCAGACACATTATCCGCCGCCTTCTCTGAAGTCGTTTATAACTTAGCTCTCCCGCGCCCGGGGGCATATCGGTACTCGACAAACACCTACACGAGGCGACGACGTCAAATACCGTGTACATACCCGTGCGACCGCAACATTTGCAGCGGCCGTGACAGCGCCGATCTCCCAACAAAGACGCGACCGACGATCGGGACGAGAGCACCGCGAGCGACGGACGATATTGCGACCGCGCACGGACAGTACCTTAGCAAAAGCAACATAGCAGCCATCGACGACGACCCGGTCCGAGACGGCCTGTATACCATATTCGCATTATATCCAGCCTGGCAACTGGCGCTCTGAGTGCTCGCTACTCGTGGAGCAAGAGGCAACATGTCAGGCCCCGCCGAAAGTGCCGCCGGGCAGGCCGCGCCCGCTAGCCACTCCGCCGGTTCTCACGGTCACGGTCACGGCGCCGGAAGTTTCGACCTGCTCAGGAGGGCAACGCAGGCCATGATGTCGTCCAGGTAAGTGTGTGGCTTTCCTGTACACAAGGAGTTGGCCTCATGGAGAACACCACCCACCCGAGCCCGTCTACCTATCCTGTATTCCCAAGCACGTTTCTATGCACTTCTGGGCCCTCGTTCCGTTGCACAATGCCTGTCGTTGGAGTTCCACCGCTCAGGAAGTTCCAATTACAAATCGCATGTGCTCCCATCAAGGCACCCTACTTTACCCTTATTATTGCCGGCTTCCGTTGGGCTTCTGGAAAGCCCGAGCATCATTTAGCCACAATCTACTCGACGGCCAGACTCTAGGGGTTCTGCCGTTGTTGAGGGTGTTGTCCCAAGGACCCTGAGATCAGATCCAGGTTCTGGGCACCTGCACCTGCGCTTCGTCAAACCTCGCCCGGATTCCGTCCAAAAGTCGGTCTGAAAGCTGCATGGACTCTATTCGAGGCTGTCAGCGTGGGCGTCGCGGTGGTAACGTCAAGGTGGTGCCAGCGGACTCAGGCTGATGCTCAGCCACCCCAATGATGTTATCTGGATGTCGCAAATCGATTTTCCCCCTTTCCCCAAACCCAGTTTCCCATGTCAGACCTTGTCAGGCAGAAACACCCCTTCTTTTGCTTCTCCACCATCACCAAGAACTCGCAAAGTCCATCAGCTCATGGCTCCATCACGACGTCTTCCCCCTCTCTGCTGGAGTTCCGGCCGTCACCGTCCGGACAGCCGTTTGCATCACGTTGAGTCAGGCTAGCGCCGTCATCGCTACAAATGAGCGAATGTCCGTCCAGACAGGGCGGGACCAATTCCAGGGTAGGACTCCGCCTACCGGAAGCTCCCTTGTGAATCCACGCCTGGCTTCTGGCACACCATAGGTGCATCGGCGTGCGTATATGCCGCATCAATATCCCCTTTGGCAATGCAAACCCGCCGTGTTACGTTTCCTCAGTCCTGCCGGGTGCTGGAGGGTCTGCGGTGGTGATACACAAGTACACAGCCTGAGGTCACTGGAGTTACGGAGACAGGATTGACATCCTGAGTGGTCTGACTCGCTGGCTGATGGCGAGGAGCTGTCCACTGATGTTCACTGCTCCCCCAACGAAGATGCAGCGATTCCCACGAAATGCCCTGATCTTTTCCGCCCACCCCTCCCGTCTCCCCCCTTCTGTCCGACCCGATCTTTTGGGGGCCTTGGAACTGGGCAAGTACCCGCTCTGTAGTGCCTCTAGTTGTGGCCCTGCTTGTGGTCCGAGGGCCAGGCACCCCCCACTCCCCTAATCGGCGGCAACCACATGGCAAGCATCAAGGGTACTTTGGTGTACATCCTCGCTCGTCTGAAACCGAGTTTTTGATTTTTTTTTTCGGCTTGAGAAAGCAACGGTTTCTCTCGTTTCTGAGCGCTTTTGCCGTTGTTGCTTCGAATGCTTCGACTGGCTTTGCAGGCTCTGAACAGGCTCTGAACAGGGAAGCGTCTCTTTGGGCTTTTGGCTTTGGGACGATCCCTTGGGGGCAAACCAGATAATTCCCCGGTTGCTCTCGTCATCGATGCCCTGTATATCCACCCCTCCGCCTGGGACAGCTCATCAGCTCACTGGCTTCACTACCCCCAGTCCACTCAGTTTCACGCAGCTATCCATCATGAATTAGCGGATTTCCCACCACGAACGGGGACTGCTTTTTTGTTTCTTTCCGCTACATACCAAGCCATACCCGACCTCACCTCTGTTTCCCCTCACCCCCACACCGTTTCTTCGCGCCATCAAAGCTTAATACTCCCGTCATCTTGTGTACTGTCTAGACTTCTATCATCATGGAAGATATTAACAAGCGCAGCAGGCCTGCCGCAACCGAGGAGGACGGATCGGACCAGATCGGCGTAGACTCACCACGCTCAGGGGTCGCAACCCCGCAGCCTGATCTCCATGACAAGCGGTTGCCGGGCATTATGAGCTATTTCAACCAGGTTCGTTCTCAAAGCTCCTTTTCGCGCTTCCTGCCCTTCAAGGCGAACGAGCAAACCACAACTGCCTCCGAAGCCGTTGCGCCTCGGACCGACGAGCCTCCTCGGGCTAGCCTCACCCCTGGGCTCCCATTGAGTCCCGTTGAACCGGAAATACACAGTGCCTCGGCAGATGAGGGACCGCCCCTCCTGGCTCATGAGATTTTGGGACCGGTGGCAGATGTCATGCCACCAGCAGATGACCAGATGCACCCATACCCAACCCCTCCCACGTCGCAACGGTCATCGGTGCGCAACTTCAAGGGCGACGCGGGCAGTGAGAAGTCAAGAGGTGCTACTCCCCCTCCAAGCTCACGACCAGCCAGCCTTCATCAAATAAGCGTGCCGGACGGTGGGAGGGGAAACGGTGTTGCGCGTAGGTCGTCACTGCTGGCTCCCTTGACGGCCACAGTTGATGGATCGAGCGTGCCCGCACCTCATCTGTCGAATCCTGCTAGTCCTGTCCCCAATGTTCCAAACTCCACGAGTTGGTTGCGCGGTGGTTCCGGAGAATCAGAAGACCTTTCCTATCCGTCTGCGTCTGTTGCGCATCTTAAGAAGCTAACAGATGTGACTGCTACAAAGAGCGGTGCTTCTACCCCGACACGTGCGCTTTCGACCGCCCAACCGTCGCAAAGTGAGGAAAAGCAGCCTGAGGAGACGAGCAGGACGAACAGCGAAGGAAGTACCGAGAGGGATAGCCGCACAGCATCCCAGACACCAACACCCTCCACGTCTTCCGGAGGAGCGCCAGCATCGAGAGGAAAGCTTACAATCAAGGTCGGAGAGGCACGGGGTTTGAGGAGGTGCAGAGATCCATATGTGGTCGTGGTCTTTCAGCGGAGCGAGCTGATTTCGCCAGGCCCTCGCCGTGCGGTTGAGGATGACGATGACGCCGCAATCGCAGCCGTCCAAACGGGTGGAATTCCTATTCAGCGCCAAGGCAGTGACTCCGGCCGACCGATGGCAATTCCCATGCGAAGTCGGCAGAGCAGCAACACAAGCCTTACCGACTTCAACACGTTTCGGAGGCGCAACTCATCCCAACCTCGGCGGTCTTTCACTAATCCCACCTGGGACGCTGAGGCCGTTTTGTAAGTGACTCGATACGTGCGGTTATGCTTGGAATACTGACCAGTTTCTAGTGATGTGGTAGACTCGGACATGCTTGTCGACATCTCGGTATATGGCCAAGGGCCATCCGGTGAGGAGTTTCTTGGACACGTCGATTTCGAGGCCAACAAAACCGAGCCAATTCGAGGCTGGTTTCCCCTGCAAGGCCATGCCGACACAATGGCCGAGAATGCGCCGACGGGCGAAATTTACGTCGAAGCGCACTATCAAAGAGCCGAACAGAAGCATTTTGGCCCCGAGGACTTCCAGATTCTCCGACTCATCGGAAAAGGCACATTCGGTCAGGTGTACCAGGTTCGGAAGAAGGATACCGGTCGGATCTACGCCATGAAGGTCCTATCCAAGAAGGTGATTGTTCAGAAGAAAGAGGTGGCACATACAGTGGGCGAGCGCAACATCTTGGTCCGTACGGCCATGTCCGACTCGCCTTTTATTGTGGGGCTGAAGTTTTCCTTCCAAACGCCATCGGATCTCTATCTTGTAACGGATTACATGTCAGGTGGAGAGCTATTTTGGCACTTGCAGAAGGACGGCAAGTTCGAGGAGAAGCGCGCAAAATTCTACATTGCGGAGCTCATCCTTGCGATCCAACACCTACATGAAAACGACATTGTGTACCGCGATCTCAAGCCGGAGAACATCCTTCTGGACGCCAATGGTCACATCGCTCTCTGCGATTTCGGTCTTTCCAAGGCCAACCTGACGAAGAACGACACCACAAACACTTTCTGCGGTACAACCGAGTACCTAGCACCCGAAGTACTTCTCGATGAAGCCGGTTACACCAAGATGGTCGACTTTTGGTCCCTGGGCGTTCTCGTTTTCGAGATGTGCTGCGGCTGGAGTCCATTCTACGCTGAAGATACCCAGCAGATGTACAAGAACATTGCCTTTGGCAAAGTCAGATTCCCGCGCGACACACTTTCTTTGGAAGGCCGAAATTTCGTAAAGGGACTTCTAAACCGAAACCCCAAGCACCGCCTTGGCGCTACCGACGATGCCGAGGAGTTGAAGAGGCATGCCTTTTTCGCCGATATCGACTGGGATGCGCTCTCCAAGAAGCTCATCACACCGCCTTTCAAGCCGCAGCTCAAGAGTGACACTGATGTGTCATACTTTGACCCCGAATTCACCAATGCGCTCAACGCCAATGGATCGCTCAATGAGCGTGCAGCTGCGTTGGCCAGAGGCTATGCCACGTCTACTCCGCTCTCGCCTTCGGTACAGGCCAACTTCCAAGGCTTCACGTTTGTTGACGAAAGCGCGCTTGAGGAGAACATGCACGATCGTCATTACAACAGATACGAGGACGATGAAATGGACGACGTCGCGGATCGCCGGAGGACAGATGATTGGGATGACGTTCATGAGGCCGACCAACGAGCTGCGAATCGGATGAGCGGTGTCGTTAAGTCTAACACGACTGAAGACCAGATGTTTGGCGGAACCAACTTCGACCCTTGAATGGCCCATGCCGCACAGCTCTTCGTTTGTTGCGGTAACGAGTTGTTTTTTTTGTCTGTTGTTGGCTTCGATGTATTACCCCTTTCCCCCCCGGCTTCAGATATGGTAGCGGTATAAGAAAGAAGAAAGAAGATGATCGTTCATTTTTTTTTTGTGTTGATGATGACTTCGACGAGCACCAACCATGGCAAACATGCATTTTTAAAACAAAAGGCGGTTCTCACACAAATCGGTATATTCGGGTGTTTGGCTTGTAACTGAACAGCACACTTTAAGGCGGGGCGTTAACGGTGGTTGATTGATTGGGTGTTTCCAACTGAAGCCTGCTTGCTGAATGAAGCAGGAGTTTGCATCGCAAAGAAGAACGATTAAACAAGAAAGAAAGAAGGAAAGGAAAGTGTTTGAAGGCGATTGCTGTGCGAGTCGAGTAATTCTTTGGTGAAGCGTGGTTTTTGCGCTTGTTTATTGTCCTCGCTTGTTTGTTGTTGCTGCTGTTGTCATAAAAGCTTTTGTTTTGGGCGGATGAGAAGAGAGAGATGCGTATTATTGTACCCTGTCAGGTTGATGAGATCGATGAGCAAACATCAGCATACATATACGGGCAACTGTGTGGTCAGTGAGTGAGTGAAGTGAGTTGGGAGAGAAGTTTGAATCATGATTTTTTTCATCAACATAGCGTTACCTGAATGACAGAGTACCGAGTACTGAGTACACTTGGCTTGTCAAGACACATAAGAAGATGAGAAAGATGCTGCTGGGCTTACCTCGATTTTTTGGACCGACGGGAGATCGGGAGAGATTGGATTATCACAGAAACGTTGCTCGAGCAAAGCAGTTTCTTGTCAGTGTCTTCTGCTTGTGTGGAGTGTGGAATAATAGTAGCGTCTAGTGAAAACAAACGAACAACTAATACTTAATCGTGGAAAGAACTGAGGTAGAACACATAAAAAAACACGAAAGAGCATTGATAATGGGCTTGTAGTTCGGGATTGACTATGGGGTCGAGCGCTGAACGTAGAGGTAGCACAATAAGTATAACCCGATTGTATAAGGCCGTATTGTCTTGCAAGGTTCTTTCAAAATATCCTTTCCTACGGATGAGCAGGAATGTGAAGAGAGTTTTGACTGTCACAGCACGTAGTTTCGGGGCTGAGGTACCAAAAGGACTGACGGAAATAGTAAGATATTTAAGATATTAAATAAGAAGAAGAAGAGGAAGCTAGTCTACATCGGATGGAATGGGTAGGACTTCTTGTTCACAGTACGCGATGATAGCCTAGATGGGATGAAAGACCAAAACCCCCATGGTAACACAAGGGTCTGACAGGTGCTGGCACATGCCATCACAAGTGGTGATATTTCGGGATATGGGCCGCGATATTCAGAAAACCGCTACGTTCTTGGGTACTGTGAATCGTGTGAATGCACAGACGTTAGACGAGAGGCGTACGGGAGAGGAGATGCCTTGTGTCTGAGAAGGCAGACAGTAGGTATCATGATCTCGGGTATGAAAATACATGCCAAGACACTCGCACAGGCAAACTTGAAGAGCAAGACGCTGTATGGAGTTTACTGCCATGAACGTTGGCCGATCGAATGACCTTTACGAGCTAGTCCCAGTTGCTCGCTTCCTGGTTATTACATTGGTCTAATGTCGATTCATGGGATGTTAGGGGACATGTATCACTTGAGGCCGTTATGTGGGCTCATGACTCCTTATACTCTATATTGGAAATTATACATGGGATTTTACTCCTCTACAAACACACGGGGCTGGTTTCGTTCATCCAGTAATGGGCAAGAAGTTCCTCTCCAGTCATGGGAGCGCCATGTGAAACATGCGCACAACACCATCAGACCGTCATCAAGCTCATGTCGTGTCGGTAGTTGGCATAAGATTGAGAGCTGAGGGAGGAGAGGCTGGAAACGATGGGATGATCCGCGCATGGGATATATCAAGACACTGGCTGACCAGGGGGTATCGATCGATCGCAACACCTGTTTCCATCTTTCTCGTAGACTTTTTTTTCCGTTCTCTCCTTTCTTTCTCAAAATCTCGAATTTGGGTCTATTTCGGAGAGACTGAGTTTAAACGATGTCTGGATTGGATGATCGGGAGCGAAGTGACTGAGTGAGTACCGAACGAGACAAGACGAGTCGCTTAGTGGTGAGCACCACCCTCCTCCTCCTCCTCAACGAGCCAGTCCTCGACAACGGCAGCGGGGGCAGCGGCATCGGCACCCTCCTGGCCCTCGACCTCGACGGCCATGTTCTCGTACTCCTTCAGGCTGGAGGCAAGGTCGGCCTCCTCGGGAGACTTGGGGGTCTTGGGGAGGTTGAAGGTAGCAACCTGGCCGATGGAGTCGGACTCCTTGATGGGGGTGGGCTTGTAGGCCTTGAGCTCCTTGAGGTAGAGCTCCTGGACGAAGTCGGCTAGATAAAAGAAAAGGGACAGATGATGTCAGAACCAAGATGCGCAAGAACGGACGGGCGGACGGATGGATAGACTGGTCGGCTGGTTTATGTCGGGGCAACGAGAGGTTGGACGAGCTGTCGGGCGACGTGCGGCGAGGCGGGCAGGAGAATATCGATGGCAGAGCAAGAGAACAGGATCGAGGGTCATGTATTAGGATAGTGAGTTCTTGTGTAATCGGATTGCTGGCATCGGTATGCATCGACCAACGTATCGAGGTAGAGGGCGTTGTTGTCGTCGTTTCGCACAAGCTAGTCGGATGTCGTAACCGAGCTATCCCGGAAGGTATCGTAAAGTCGCCATCAAGGCATCGAGACCGTATCGTGCGCTAGTCGTCGTCCATGCCGGAGCTATCCAACCTATCCGTCGACCCGAGGGTGTAAAGTGTTTGGGCAAGAGAGAGAAAGGGACGTACCTCTCCGCGAGACGGTGGGCGCGATGAAGGTCCTCATCTGGGGGCGGGCAAGGCGGGCAACGGCCGCGACGGCCTGGCGGGCGCTCTGTGCGTTGATTAGCTTATTGTCCGATTCCTATTCCCATTGCTGTCGGCCAGCATTGGTGTTTCGATTCCGAGCTGCGACCCGGCATCGATTGCGGCAGTCGCCCAGGAAAAAAGACGTACCGAAGTCCGGGAGAGCATTTTGAATGTGCTGGGCGAGATGCGTGACGCTGCGAGGAGAGGTAGCGAACTGAAGGTCACGGTGGAGGTCGTTGCTTGCGAGACTTTTCAAAATATCCCGGTTGGACATCCATTGGAGGTTCTCGGGTCCGGCGTGCACGGACGTCCTTTCACCCCTCTCACATGGGCTATGGCAGGTACAAACGCCGTAGCTGTCACGTGATTCTGGTTTTATTCCTTCAACTACCGGCACTCACTTTGGTGAAAAGGCGCGAAAATCAATGACTTGGTTCAAACTGAGTATCTGGTTGAGTAAGACTGTCAAACGACTTTATCTTCAACTGTATTGCTACAAATCTAGAAAGCAAAGATGAAAGGCAGAACCTCAAGCCTTGACTTGGATGAGGAGAAGCCCGGGTGGTAGTGGGGACATCCCAGGTCCCCAGTCTCCACTCTCTAGTTTGACATACGGTGGTTCCAAAGTCAACTTCCACTTTGTTCTCGTCATCCCGTCACTAACCTCAATTCAAGCTTGTGTTTCATTACAACTATACATTGTTTCCGCGGTTGTTGATCTCTTTTCTATGCACAACTCTGGCTACGGTTAGATACTGAAATCACCGCCTGCCAAAACCTACCACCGATCAGCATCGGATCACCATGTTCTTCATCCCATCTCTATATCATATCAAACACAAGCCTGGTGTCTCTAGAAGTTATCTCTCAAATCATCGCATGTTCATCAAGCCAACACGGAAAACAACCGCCGACTATCTTCAGCTGCCTCTCTTCATGCGAATCCTACCATGATTGCACCTTTTCCTGCTGCACCTTCCATCGCTTATACCCGGTTCCTTGGCCTATATGGTTGTCGACCAACTGGATATCGCTGTTGATGAGTGAAGTTGTCACTCTTGCGTAAATGAGGGCCCTGCTGACGGCCGCGGCGAACGACTGCCCATGACTTGACGATGGCGTAGATACCAAAACAGACCGCAGCAATGATACTATAGGCAACGACGGCCGAATTGTTCGCATTACTGAGCTTGAGACCAAGACCACCGTTGACGATGGCCGTCGTAAGGAGAATACGACCCCACCAGATGTGAGCATAGCTGACCACACCGCGTTCGCGATACTTTAGGAAGTACTTGTGGTGCATGACTCCGAGAACTGGCTGGATGAGGAGGAGGAATACGACGGCTGTTCCGAGCTTGGTGTGTGTGTTGTTGAAGAGCTTTTCGCGAACTTGTCAGCAAGTCTTGTTCAACTTGTACGGTTCAAGGGCTAGCAAGAGCCAGCGCTTTACATACCATATTCCGGTCCTGCGCAACACGCATACCGATGCCGAAGCCAACCCACATCATTACGAAGGCAACTGTTTGCCAAATTGCGTGGGCAATCCAACTGCCGGTCAGAGGCATGAGCATCGCACCCAGAGGGTAAAGAGCCGCAAAGGTGGCCGTCATGATAACAGAGTGTGCAACCAAAGCCGCATTCCTGCGCGTACGGCCAACGCCAGGCGCGAATGGATTGCCAGGTCCTGCAACAACTCCAGGATCGTCGCTGCCACCTCCTCCGCCCCCGGTGCTTCCACCTCCGCTTCCGCTTCCCGGATCTTCGGTGTCTGCCTCGAGGAAGGGGTTGCTGTCGGAAGAAACCGTCGCCTGGGTGAGATCGAGTTGGAACTGGTCATGGTCATCATGCTGACTGATGCTTGCGCTCTTGCTCGTGGTCGCCAGAGAGGATCCCGACTTCCACGCAGCAATCCATTTCGACGCAGTGTCCGTCAGGCTGAGCGAGCCTCCGTTCCAACTTTCACAGTTTGGGCAGACCACGTTGGCAGTCATGACGCCATTTACCACTCCGCTGCCCGCGAGCAGTCCTAACTTTGCCGCCGACGAACTGGTGTCCTCCTTTGGCTCCGAGTGCCCGGTGCCCAGACGGGGTGATAACGTTAGGTTACCCGACCCATCTTGGTACATAACGAATATGTTGGCCCCTTTCATTTGATCGCCCGTGCCAAGTGCTACCCATGAGTATGTCGATGGTGCTCGGATTTGGAAATAGATGTTGCCGGACCCTGAGTCCGCTGATGATTGGGGGATGCCAAACCGAAAGCAGACATTGTCGGCACCGGTGGGACAATACTTGGGTGTGGTAGCGTGGACAGCATTGCTGGCTACAGATTTGTTCCACCATATGAGTATCAGATCGTTTGTGGGCGAGAATGTGTGATGAGGCTGGGATTGGACCTACCAATCAGCCCTGAGGCCAACAACGACCCTCTAATAGCCTTCATGGCTGAGGTCGATTGTGTTTGGAGATAAGGTGTATGTTTAAGTTGAAAGGGTAGAGGCAGAGTCTACAAAAGATTTAAGGAGGTTTAAGGAGATGGCGTATAAGTTGAGTCCCTGGGCGACAGGAAGGGTTGCGTAAAAATGGCTGTTACATGAGAGTTTGGATGATGACACTGTCACTTCGTTGAAGTCTCGAGACAATGACGGGCGCGAGGGGGGCAGACACCTATCCATATACTTGCATGTGAAGCTGCGGAGCTGTGGTCCAAACAAGACAAGGCCGCACAAAGATACGCATGTAGCTTGTCAGCCAGCAGCAACAGACGCCAACCCGAGTCCCCCTCGTCCAGACTCACATCACATCTAATGTACATACCTTGGCCACCACCACATATTTTGGGTGGAGGTCTACCTGCAAAAGACTTGGTGGAATGCAGGGCGTCGCACATACTGATGGCTGATGGCTGACTTGCGAGCTTGCGAACCGACGAACGCCAGCTGCAACAACTTTTCAAGCCATTCAAGCCATGGCTGGAACGCGAATGCATTCGGTTGATCGCACTTGGGGGGAGTCCGTCCTCGAGAAAACTTGGGAATTTGGGAACTTGGGTCCTGTCATGGGATTGTCATTCCACAGTCCCTCTCTCCTTGTATCCCTCTGCATACCTTACCTTGGTTGTTCAAGGTGCAACATCTCGTTCTCTAGCAGAACAGAGCCCATCATCAGAATAAGGGTTTGTGTCAATGAGTACCAACGCTGAATGATGCTCGCTACACAAAAGCCATTGTTTCAAAACTCGAGTTTGTACCTGTGTGTGTTCCCCAGGATTTCATCCCACCAACTCCCAAAGAGAGAGATTAAAGTCTGACTGACCAATGACCAATGGCTTTGGCGTCTCTTGAGTCTGGACTACACTACGGCGCAGGCACAGCCGCACCGGAAAGAAACCCGTATCTTACCGGGCCGCACATACAGATCAAGCTGACGTGGTTGCACACACAGCCATCAGGAATCGTTAGTAACTGAGTAATGACCACTGATAAAAGTGTCGTCTTGAACCTGATTCCTGATTCGGAATCTTGTCAAACGGGCGAGTGTTCACCACTTCGTGACAGAACCCTTCCGGGTATCTGTAATGCATAATACCGTATATGTATCGATCCAGAAGTTTCCCAGCTCCCCAGATCTGAGAAGGTGCGTTTTTCCTAGTCCTTTCTGCGTTAGACATACATACGGTATCGCTTTTGACACCGGGGTCTAGAACCAACTAGCTTTCCAAGGCTGAAATGCATAGCAACCCTTCTACCTAGCGTGGTGTAAAGTACCACATTGAAAGAAGTGAAACAGGGGACAAGACACATGTATGACAGTTGACAGTTCAATATGCAAAAAGGTCAATAAGGCTAGAGTGACATTCCTGTCGATCATCCATTTCCAATTGCCGCGTGGGTAAAGCTTGATATATTCCATGTTTCCCCTTCTTCCTTTGATAGGTACATATCTGTAAGTAAATGTCCTACGTGCGTCCTACAAACCTTCTGTTGGGTCTTAGGAGCCGTATCGGACTTTCGAAGGGGGGGACCCGAGAGCAGAGCTGCTAAGGTAAGCATTAGAAAGCCCGATAAGCCGCGCGGCCTTTTCGGTCTCCGGCTCTTGGCCGATTTGTCCTTGGGGCTTCAGGGCTTCTCGAGGCGTCTCGAGGCGTGTCGGTTGGACGGTAAGCTATCGGCCAAGAGCTGCGGTGCTGATGTGCGTGAGTTCCGGTGGTGATGTTGGTGGTGGCTGAGTAAAATGCGTGGTTGATTTGTTGCGTCCGGTAAATCGTGAAGGAGGATTAACGATTGACGATTGACGGTTGACAGACATATTGAGAGGCCGCGCGTCCATTGAAAAGATATCGTTGGATCTCAAAAACATCTGCCATTGGAATGTGTCTTCATGACCATTTTGCGCCAAGATGGTAAACGAAATATCTTCAAAACAAGCTCTCGAGTTCATTCCTGTCTTTGCCGATCATTCTTTTATCCAATGGCATAAAGCGCGTGAGTCTATTGCCTGAGCTGTCTATTTGTCTTCGTCCATAACTGAATGGAACACTCGACCATTGAAAACGAAAGAAACGAGAAATGAAAGAAACGAACCGAGGGCCGACTGAACTTATAGCACTGTATTCGCTGTGGTCCGTCACCACTATCATTTTCCGTCCTGCGCGGGTGCCTTTGCCATGGTTCATGGCGCACCAGCTGAACAGCACTTTTCCCATACCGTCCTTAACTCCTAAAACCCAGTCGAAAACAGATCGAGCATGATCTTTTGTGTCCTCCTCTTTCGGCGCATACTCGCCCCTAAAAACCAGCCAAACCGCACCGTAAAACTGTGTTCTACACAGTAAGCCAAGTGGAACAGCATCTTGGTCTAGACACGCATTCCAAAGCCATCGCCATCCAAGAGGCTGTTCGACGCAACAAAGCTGAATCCTCCAAAGAGATCATCCTTGGCAGCGGCGGCCGCATATCGCTCCTCGAAGCGGCTAACAACTGGACTGAGGCTCAGGTCCGTGAATTCGGGCGCAAAGTTCTCAGCGAGCTCTGGATCCGTAATCATGGGCTGGATAGGAGGCTCAATTTCACGAGCCGCAAGCTTCTTCCAGTCGATCTTGCGGAAGAACCGGTGCTTCTTGATGGTGTCCAGATCCTTGGGCATGTTTGAGCCTAGACGCTTAGCAGGATCCTTGCGCAGCAACCGCGTCAACAGGTCCTTGGCCTCCGCGGTCAGGAAGTAGGGCATGATGAGTTTCTGCTTGACAATATTCTCCTGAATCTTGGCGTTGTTCCCTCCACGGAACGGAGGGTTGCCCGTCATCAGGTCGAAGCCAAGTGCACCAAGAGACCACCAATCAACAGAGCGGCCGTATTTCTTGCCTTGGATAACCTCGGGAGCCATGTACTCTACGGTACCAAGCATCGAGTTGCACTCCTCAGACTCAACGGCCACCTTGGAGAGGCCAAAGTCAGTCAAAAGAAGGTGACCTTCAGAGTCGAGGAGACAGTTCTCGGGCTTGAGGTCTCGATAGACGACACCCAGGGTGGTATGAAGGTGGGACAGGGCAAGAACCATTTCCGCCATGTAAAAGGCCGCCGTCGGCTCCGAGAACATCTTCTCGGTATTCAGGTGGGTGAAGAGCTCGCCGCCTTGGCCGTATTCAAGAATAAGATACAACTTCTCCTGATCTTGAAAGGCGTAGAAGAGCTTAACAACAAAGGGGTGACGGTTGACGCTCTCCAAAATCTGGCGTTCCGTCTTAGTCTGCTCAACCAACTTCTTGTGCACGACGAGAGAGGCCTTCTTGAACTGCTTCTGCGCAAACAGACGACCAGTGGTACGTTGCTTCACCAGCAGGACAGTGCCGTACGTTCCCTTGCCCAAGCATCGCAGGGGCTCAAAGTCGTCCGCGGTCATCTTCTGCGAGCGGGCAACGCCACCATCAGTGCCAATCTCCACCGCTTCGGTAGACCCAGTTGTAGTAGTAACGTTCCCATCGACAGCAAAATCGTGCTCCAGGTTGATTTCGTAGCTCTCGGTGGCCACAGATGCTGTCTCGTCCCCGGAACTAGTGCCGCTGCTGTTGCTGCGTTTGTATCCATTTTGGCGGACCAGGCCGCCAGAAAGAACACGACGGCCAAGCTTCGACGTCATGGAGCTCGCGCGTGAAGAGGCAGCAGTGTTTGCGCGTGAAGTGTCGAGGCTGAGGGCCTGAATATCCTGGTGCATCCGTAGCATGCTGATTCCGCTCATGGCGGGCGAGAGAACGGGCCTCAAAGCCGGGCTGCAATTGGCACTGACAACATCGTCGACCATGAGCGTACTTCTGCTGCTCTTGGTTGTCAATCCCCTACGGGGGTCGGGCGAGAGGCAGTAGTCGGAGTCCTCATCGCCGGATGCAGCCGGGGTGTTGTGGAAGCCACGCACCGTCTTGAGTGCGGGAGTTGCTGGAGCGGATCTGAACATCTTTGTCGTAGTCGTTTAATGGGCTAGTAGTGGGATGGTGTCGGTATGATCGATTATAATCGGGAACTAGATAACTCTCGTTACAGCTCGACAAGATCAATCCCTCAAAACCTCTGTCGGCCTTCGTATTCAAGGCTCGCCTCTGCGTCGCTGGGCGTCGGCGCGGTGTTCGGTGGTCAAACTTGGTCCTTGGTGGCTTGGAATCGCACGCATCTGGTACTTGAAGAAGGAAGTGGAATTGTCGTCGACGGTCTTCTCGATATGCATTGAGGGTGAACAGGTTTGATAAGATGTGATTGAGTGTCAAGAAGAAAAAAAGAGGAGAAAGTTCTAAGCTGGGGGGGCGTGCGAAGGAAGAGGTCGACTCTGGAGACAATGAAAGTTGTGGGAAGCAGAAGTTAAAATAAAATGGAGCCAGAGGACGGCCTGGACCGGGGTTGTAACCTTGGGTATTATCCAATGTACAATTACCCCTAGGGGTATGCACTAACCAGGGGCCGCGACCGCGATGAAGAGAAAAAGTGTTCACATGCGTCACGGTCTGGGCAGGCCGGGCAGGCGAGCAACAGGAAGGGCGGGAAGGCCAGCTGGACTGGTCTGGTGGAAGGAAAGGGAGGAAAACTGGAATTGGCGTGAGCACCTGAAAATCGGTGATTGGCCATGGAGAGTCTCGCGCATAAAAGGGAGTGCACCATTTTCCAGGCTTTTTCTAGCTTTCAGCCTGGAATCGCCCCATGTTTGCACTGTCCAGAAATGAACCTCCAATACTACACCGCTGTGTACTCGCCGAGTGTGTGTATACCAAGGCCGCTGACGGGAATGCCGACCGCGATCTTCATTTTGACAAGTCTGGGGAATCCGAACAGCTGGGGCTCGATTGGCGGTCATTAACTGCATTGATCGACGGCTGGGAAGGGGGAACTGGCCGCACCATTTTGAGATTGCACTTCCATGTCACCTTGGACAAACCGTGTGCAAAGTAGGTACCCACACTTGTTTTACCAACAGGAAATCCATCACATAAAAAACACTGGAACTGTACGTACCTCTGAATGTTCGAAGTGAAGTCTTCTTGGTGACTCGTTGGTTCACTTTTGATGTGAGGTGGTGCTAGGACTGCGGTCGTACTGGAAGCCGTGGGACGAGAATGTTTAGGTGGGACAAGTAATGGAGGGTTAGGGTTAAAATGTGCCGGAAATTTTAGTGGAGCTCCAGCAACAGCAACACCGCCAGTGTTGTAAACTTCCCTGTGATTGCATCACCTACCAACCTGGAACTTCAAATCAAGACAGAAAGCAAAACACCGGACCCGCACGTCAAAGTTTCTTTAGCAGCGACCAGCCGAATCCGAATTACTCAAATTTACTCGTGTCCAAGTGTCCACGAGCTTTAGCGAGCGAGCGACCGCCAAAGTTTAGCAAGATGCATCCGGCGCGTAGAGCCTACGTGGAGGAGGCCGAGCCTGAGGTAAGACATGCCCTATTCGCCCCTCTCGCAACATCGAAGGCACCTGCTCAACTTTTGCAAACAGAGCCCGGACTGACCCCCCTGAAGCAGGATCGCGGAGGCATTGATCTCGACTCCGTTCGTAAGTCTGGAAAACACTTCATGTATTGCTTCCGACCCACGACTAATTCGCCCGCTAGCCCTCGATCGCGATTATGACATTCCCGGTGCTGGGGCTGGTATTGCCCCAGAGAAGGCATCCGTACTTCTTTCACAGTTCGAACGAAAACGATTAGCAGCTTCGATTGCCGTTCCTACCGACGATGCCCGGGTGCGAGCCAAATTGCGAGAGATGGGCGAGCCTGTCACCCTCTTCGGCGAGGGCCCGGCAGACAGACGCGACAGATTACGAGAACTCATGACACAACAAGCCGAAAAGGGAGGCCAGGAAAGCGCCGATGTGGAGATGCAGGACGCCGACAATGAGGAAGACGAAGCCGGTGACCAAGAGGAAGAATTCTACACCACTGGAACCCCGGAGCTGCTCCAGGCCCGCATCGACATCGCTCACTACTCAATCCCGAGAGCCAAGAAGCGCATCGAGTTTCAGAAGAAGGAGTCCACCATCCCACTGCGAACACATGTCAAACACCGAAAAGAGATCAAGGAGAAGCTCCAGGGATTCGAGTTACAAGGCAGTCAAACGGCAGGAGAGCGGCACATCAGCATGACGAGGATCTCGCCCGATGGAAACATGGTCGCAACTGGCAACTGGGGTGGACAGGTCAAACTCATCGAGATCCCGACCCTTGAACAAAAGAAGACTTTGAGGGGCCACACCAACAAAGTGAGCGGTCTATGCTGGATGCCTGGAGCTACACTGCCCGAGCGCAATGTTTCTCCCGATACGGTCAACCTCGCTTCTGGAGGAGCGGAAGGTCTGGTTCATCTTTGGTCTCTGAACCAAGATACTCCGCTCAGAACTCTTTCGGGACATTCCCAACGAGTATGTCGTGTAGAGTTCCACCCCTCGGGCAAGTATCTGGCTTCTGCTTCAGAAGATACCTCGTGGAGGATGTGGGATGTTGAGACCGGCACCGAGCTCCTTCTCCAGGAAGGTCACTCCCGCGGTGTCTACGCTGTCAGTTATAACACTGATGGATCGCTACTCGCGAGCGCGGGGTTGGATAGTATTGGAAGAATCTGGGATCTGCGGACAGGACGGACTGCCATGATTCTGGATGGACATCAGGACGGCCATATCAAGCCTATTTATGGCTTGGATTGGGGCTCGGATGGTTACAGGGTGCTCACAGCGTCTGCTGATGGCTGGATCAAGTGCTGGGACGTTAGAAAAGTGGAAAGGATAGGAGGCATCGGTGCACACACAAGTGCAGTGGCCGACGTGCGGTGGTTCAAGGGGTTGGATGACCCGTTGGAGGGAGTTCCTCCTGGAGAAGATGAAAAGGGGATGCAAATTCCCAAGAAGTCTGGCACTTTTATGGTGTCGGCAGGCTTTGACCACAAAGTGAACATCTTTTCCGCTGACGACTGGGCCTTGGTTCAGTCTCTCAGCGGCCACACGGGGCCTGTTGCGAGTGTGGACGTCAGCCGGGACGGAAAATGGATTGTAAGCGGTGGTCATGATAGGACGGTCAAGCTTTGGGGAAGAAACGACTCAAAGGGCTTGTATGAATCCTGAGCGGACGGCAAAGATATAGCCAAGTCCTGTCATTGCCTCTAGAGTCGCCACACCAAGGAGGACGTTCCGCAACAGGTCTTGGCTTACCGCTCAACGAGAGAGAGTACCGGCACATAGATTGCATAGAAGCTATCTAGATCCTGTATATGAGCAACCGCAAATGGATACCCCTTTAAAATTGGGTTTAACACATGAACCTCAGCTGCTTCGTGGTTGCATCTCACTGACGTGTTAAGAATAGGGGGGTCACCTGACCGCGAAAGTGGGCCTTCTGAGATCCTCCTTCCCTTCTTTTGTTCTGCAGTGACGCGGGCAGGGCTGGGCGGGACACCCTTGGAGATGGTGACGCACGGTCCATCGTGCGAAGCTTGGCTTTCTGATAAAGGGCGATAAAACAATGGCAGCCGACGCCATCACAAGGAACTTTGAGAGTTGGGTTGGTTTCGAACTTTTGACTTCTTCGTTTGTCTCATTTCTGGACTCTCAATTGTTTTATCCCCAACCGGTACTCGCGCGAGAGACACCAGTCACCATACCCTCAACCCACAGCATCCGGGCAGCTCAAGTTCCCATGCGCATCAACTCGGCCAGAGCTATCTGAAGGGCGACACGGGGAGGATTCGCTTATTTGGGAACCAGCCAGAACGTCGACCACCGCATTGCATCATGTCATATCGTCCTCCGCGGGAGGGCTACCAGCCGCCATCGCTCGGGCTCCCTGCAAAGCCTCCGCCGCCGGTTGACAATCGTTTATCCAAGTCGCCGGCGAGAAGACGCGATGTGCCCCCTGCCGTGCCATCGCCACCTTCACACTCGACCCGGACGTCACCTCCTCGGGCACACTCGACCAAGAGCGTAGCGTCACCGGCAACAGCACCTCCGCCGTCGAGCCCCCAAAAACTGCCGGTCGCGCGTCCCGATCAGTGGTACTTCACGCCCGACGAAGTAGCGAGCACACCCAGCATCATAGACGGACTCTCTGTGTCGGAGGAACGACTAAGAAGGGCCAAAGGTGTCAACTTTATTTTCCAGGCTGGCATCATGCTTGACCTTCCGCAAATCACGTTGTGGGTTGCAGGCGTGTTTTTCCACCGCTTTTACATGCGAAGGAGCATGGTGGAAGAGAAGGGTGGTATCCATCATTACGTATGTCTCTTCACGTCCCCTACCTATCCTCTGGCGCCTGTGTTGGCGGTCACCTCTAGGAGCCCGGATTTAGTTATTGAATTTTGAGGATGCGCGACGTGGACTAACCCATCTTGAATATGCAGAACATCGCTGCCACAGCGCTCTTTCTCGCGAACAAGACAGAAGAGAACTGCCGTAAAACAAAAGATTTGATCATCGCGGTCGCCAAAGTCGCCCAGAAGAATACGAAGCTAATCATCGACGAACAAAGTAAAGAATATTGGCGGTGGCGCGACAGTATTCTCAACTACGAGGAGGTGATGCTGGAGCAGTTGACATTTGATCTTATGGTGGGAATTCCATACCACCCACTATACGAGTTTCTTAATACGCTGGAGCAGGACATTCCTCTGCAGCAACAAGAAAACAGCCAACAGCAGCAAGACGTCTCCAAGCAAAAGCAGCACCTGGTTCGCAACAAGGCCTTCCGTAACGCCGCATGGACTTATTGCAACGACGTGTGCCTCACAGTCTTGCCCTTGCTACTTAACGCGCGCGACATCGCCATCAGCGCCATTTTTTTCGCCGCTTCCATCCTTAAGGAGAAAGTGGACGACGTCGATGGGGAGGCGTGGTGGAAATACCTTAAGGGGGATGAGGGCAAGGTCTGCATGGCTATGGATGTCATTACCGAGTTCTATAAGGAGAACCCGTTGAGGAAACAAGATAACAGGATGTCTCCGTCACCTACGTTCAACCTCGAGAGCACTAGGCGTAGACTCGGAACGGCATCCAGCCAGCAAGAGGGCGACGGTACTCCGATGGACACAGATCGCGGTACACAGAGCCCTAGGAGCTCCAGTGACCGCGATCGCGCTAACGGTAATAGCAACGGCACATTGGAGGAGGATGAGGAGAGGTCGCAGCGACATCATGTCAAGCAGGAAGACGGGACATCAGCTTCGGATGCTCAGAACGGTTCAACGACGAAGAACTCTTCAGAGGCTAAGACAGGTTCGGTCATCAAGAGCGAACCGGACAGCGCTACTTCTGGTCTCGATGCAAAGACAGAGCAGGCACCGGTGTCGTCTTTGCAATTAGACAGAGGAGACTCCGATGCGTCGCTAAAAGAAGCCGCCAATAATTTGGCGATACACGAAGGAGAACCGGACCACAGAGGACTACAGTCGCCCTCCGACACGAAGCGTAAGAGCTCCGTGTCCGATCCGGCAGCGGAAGGCGAACCGGAAAGGAAGCGGGCTCGGACCGTGGCGAGCGATGAGGATGAAGGGGAAATCAACGGGAATTAGCGTTGCAGGTCGTGATTTTTCTGCCCACCTCCGCCGGATCTTGCAGTTGTTTCTCCGAACTCGGGTTTGTTACTTTGGCTTATATGGTAGTCGGCGGTTTCAGGCGTCAGCGGTGGGGGTCTAAAGGGGGCGCTCTTGAATTTACATGGAATGAATTGGCTGGCGAGCATGGAAAATGCACTGGGTATTCTTCGATCACACTTCCCCAGACTCGTGGGTGTAACGGGGGTCTCTTGATCAGGCAGTGCGGCGACATATCAGGACGGTGTTTAATTTGTATGATATCCTGTAAAATACACAAGAAAGAGATGTAAGGTTTTATCACCTTTAGTGGAGATTACAAGCAGCTTGAGGCTATGTCTCGACCTGGCAGCGAAAAATCGAAGCTATAGATCAACTGGATTTCACACCTCGACCATGGCTCAATACCTTTCCATACCTTTATTCTACCCAGGAATTGACATCTTCCCTACATAACCAACCCCGTCAAAAGACAACTTGTCAGGCGCAACTCACACCACTCTCCTCAACCCAAACTCATCTCCATACCCCTTCTCCCTCGCCTTCTCATCCAAAAAGTCCACCAAGTCAACCATGTTCGTGCAACTCAACATGGCGTTCCGCTCCGCCTTGCTCAGCAGCGCGTTCTTGTTCGGCCCCATGCCCGGCGCGCACATCTCGCTGAGATGGTGCTGCACAAGCTTGAACGGCAGCGGCGCCCGCGCCAGGTGGCTCATGAACGTCTCGACGGCCTCCCACGGGCAGGCGTCGTAGCCGGCGTAGAGGGCCGGGTTGGCGAGGATGGCGCGGGCGGACATTAGGCCGGAGAGTTTGGGGATGTTGAGGAGTGGGGTTTGTTGTTGTTTCTTTTTCTCGATATTGTCGGTGGTGATGGACTTGCTGGTGAAGGTGGGAGTGTTGGCTGGGTCTAAAAGGGGTGAGGTGAAGGGGAGAGAGTTGAGGGTGAAGACGTCGCCTGAGAGGAGAATGGGGACCTTGTCGCCGAAGGTGGTGGTGAGGATCTCGAGCGCTTCGACGTTGATGGGTGTGCTGGAGGGGGTTTGGCGGGTGCGAGGGTGGATGGTTAGCCAGTCGATGTGGCGGTCTTGGGAGGGGCCGAGGACGGTGGTGATGAAGTCCAATGTTTTTCTGTAGTATGTGGTTAGTTATTTCTATCCCCGAGACCTCATCCCGAGACACCATTTTCTTGCAGGGTACTGTAGTGCCACTCACCTCAGGTCTTTATGAACACGGATCTTGACGCTGACACTCCTTCCTTTGGGGTTATCGATATCCTTCTCCTTCCCAACACCCCATCCATCTCGTCTCAGATACTCCCGAGTCTCAATCACCATGTCCCGCACCAGTTCTCGCTTTTCCATCAGCGCGGCACCAAGAGTCTCGGCGCACGCCCATGACTGAGGGCATCCGCAGTTCAGGTCCACGCCGCCGGCATAAGGGGCCACGAGGGTAGACGCCCGGGCTAACTCTTGGGGAACATTGGCACCAAATTGTACCACTGTTGGAGGCTGTGGGCCGTTCGTGGAAATGGTGAGATCGCTATCTCTGGCAAATCGGTTCCTGTTGAACTCCTTGGCCAGAATCATGGGCGTCCAGCAAAGATCTGTGCCATAGTCATGTACTGTTTGACGGAAGGCAAGCTGTCCAGCTTGTTAGTCTTAAGATTGTGATAACGGTGATGAGAACTCTCAAACAAGGTGTTGAGGGAGGAGGAGGAGGAGGCTACTTGCCTTGCCATACCTCACCATGGGCGCCAAAGTGTAAAGAAATCTCTTTTCACTCTTCGCAATGTCAAAGAGCTTGAGCGGACTTTCTCAAGACGGGAACAAGTCAGTTAAATGCATTGCGTCCCAGTGTGATGTATGATCTATATATGAAGCAGAGGCGGTGAATTATCCAGATTGAGATTGCAGTCTCTCTGGGCCAGGACGTAGAGAACTAGAAAGGAAAGAAAAGTTGGGAGGACGTGTAGCACTTGCTACATGAAGAGGAATAACAGAGAAGGGTCGGTAGGCCTTACTGGACAATATCCTGGTTAAACTCTTCCATAGTGGCCTCCATGTTGATGAGTCCCAAGCCCTTGATAACGAGTGGAAGGATGGAGTAAGAGCGAACGACTTTCGTGGTTGCGCCGGAGGGTGAAGAAGTGGTTGCAAGTGAAGGTTATCGCGATCAGCATCCGCTTTTTTTTTAGTGGGGGTTTTGAACTTTTGATAGCCGCTACGGCAGTTGACTTTTTGTGAGGTTCACAAGCCCACGATATACAAAATCTTCCGTTATTCAACCTGGCGATCCAAAATCACATCACAGATTATCGACACTCGATGGTAATGACACTATTTCAGCGAAAACTTGACAACTGATTTCTGGGAGCAAATATCGCGTCCACGCCTTGGAGCATCACAAGTTCATGAAATCAACCCCAACCCTAACAGTTCCCGCTATCGGTGCTCCATCCCCCACTATACGTACCTGATCAGGCCCCACTAACAGCTCCAGTTGCCCCGGTTTCACGGTTTTAACAAGGCACAAACCCCTGTCTTATATGACTCTTAGCAATTCCCCAGTGGCCGTCATCGCTTCCACTTTCTTCAGCTTGTTGACTTGCAACCCATCTCCAGCTTTTTCCTTGAGCAAGAGCCATCTGCTCACGCCAAAATCATCCGATGAGCCTGAGACAAAAATCCGACAAGATGGGAAGCAGCAACCCAGTCATTGGCCTTCTCGGTGGCGGCCAATTGGGTCGTATGCTCTGTGAGGCCGCAAACCCCCTGGGCATCGACATCGCCATCCTCGACGAGAAGAACGCCCCTGCTAAGCAGGCCCATAACACCAACCGCCATGTCACTGGCTCCTTCAAGGACCCGGCCAAGATCCGCGAGCTCGCTGCTCGTTCCGACTACATCTCTGTCGAAATCGAGCATGTTGAGACCGAGGTCCTCGAGGATATCGAAAAGAATGGCGTCGAGATCAAGCTCGCTGATGGCTCCGTTGCTATTCACAAGCCGCCTATTCATCCCTCCTGGAGAACCATCCGCCTGATTCAGGACAAGTACCTCCAGAAGGAACACTTCCGGACCAGCAAGACCAAGATCCCCATCGCTGATCAGATGGCTATCGAGTCGGGCGAGTCTGCTCTCAAGTCCCTCCAGGAAGCTGCTGACAAGTTCGGGTTCCCATTCATGCTCAAGGCGAGGAAGGGAAGCTATGATGGAAGAGGAAACTTCAAGGTCAGCAGTGAGGAGGACTTTGCCCCTGCTATCGAGGCGTTGGGCAAGCTTCCTCTCTACGCGGAAAAGTGGGCCCCGTTTGTGAAGGAGCTTGCAGTTATGGTCATCCGTACCGAGGATGATGAAGGCAACTTGAGGAAATGCGTCGCCTACCCTGCCGTTGAGACCATTCATGAAGACAGCATCTGCACCAAGGTCTTCATGCCGCCCAGAGGAGTGGATGATGATGTCTGTGAGCAGGCTAGGAAGCTGGCCTGTGATGTGATTAGCACCCTGTGGGGAAGGGGCGTCTTTGCCGTCGAAATGTTCCTCCTCGAAGACGGTAAGTAGCAGTGGTTGGACTCGATATCGCTGAATATTTTGCTAACATTTGGTCAGGATCGTTGATGATCAATGAAGTCGCGCCTCGCCCCCACAACTCCGGCCACTACACCATTGAGGCCGTTCCTTACATGTCGCAGTACAAGGCGCAGCTCTATGCCGTCCTTGATCTGCCTATCCCTGATGAGCTCACCCCAAGAGTTTCATCTTCTATCATGCTCAACATCTTGGGTGGTGCCGCCCCCAACTCCCACCACAAGCTTGCCCGTCTTGCCAGGACGACGTACGGAGATAATGTTGATGTCTATCTCCATCTCTACAACAAGGAGTCCAAGCCTACCCGCAAGATCGGCCATATCACTTTGACAGGATTCTCTTCCATCGAGGATCTTGAGCAGGCCACTGAGCCTTTCATCAGCATGGTCGATCAGATCAGGGAGGAGCGTCTTGCTGCTTCTGCTGAGCAACTCCGCCCCCAGGAGGAAGCCAAGAGCAAGGCGAACTCCGGAGGAGCTAGCCCTGCGGAGGTACACAACTCGGATCAGCCTTTGGTATTGGTCACAATGGGCTCTGACTCCGACTTGCCCGTCCTCAAGGCCGGTCTTGATATCCTGAAGGAATTCAAGGTCCCTTATGCTCTCGACATCACCTCTGCCCATCGTACTCCCAAGTACATGATGAAGGTTGCCGGTGAGGCGGCAAAGAAGGGCATCAAGGTTATCATTGCTGCTGCTGGTGGAGCTGCCCATCTTCCCGGTATGATCTCTTCGGAGACCCCGCTGCCTGTCATCGGTGTTCCTGTCAAGGCAACACACCTCGATGGTCTCGACAGTTTGTTGAGCATCGTTCAGATGCCGGTAAGTTTAGGCCCAGAATCCCAATGAAATTACGGTCCGTCACTAACTGTTAACAGAGGGGCGTCCCCACTGCCACTGTCGGCATCAACAACTCCACCAACGCCGCCCTTCTCGCTATCAGGATTTTGGGTTCCTTCATCCCTCAGTACCAGGAGCACATGAGCAGATATCAGCTTCAGATGGAGGAAGCCGTAATTGAGAAGGGTGACAAGTTGCGGACAGGAGGCGATGTTGCGTATCTTGAGGGCATGAAGAAGGCCAAATAAACAAGCACACAGTGGCTTAGGAGTCAACGGGCAGGCGATGCGCAGTTTTCAATGTATATATGATGACGATTCAACTCGCGCGTGCACATATTTGGTATGAACGAACAAAAACAGGACCGGGCTGAGCGGGCTTTGAGGGTTATGGTTTAACACGAGTAAAAGGAAAAGGAATGGTTATACCCGGAAAGTTCAAGGAGAGAAAATGTCAAGGAGTATGTAACGTTTATGACTGTGGATTTTCACCACGATACATGACTTTCTTCACATTTCCCAGTCGGGGTCAAGTGAATATATGTCTGGCTCTCGCAGGTGAAGCTTCAAGGGTACGAAATGCGTGGAAGTCAACCAATCCAGGTATCCCCTGGGTTTTTTCGAAGGCTTCCACAACGGCATCCATCGCGAGTTCGCTGCCAAGACTAGTTATGGGGTCCGTAGGTGGACCGTGCACGCGACGGCCGCGGCAGGGTCCCGCCGACGGAGGTCCAGAGCTTCCCCCGGAGAGGTGGCTCCAACTTGCCCTAGCGACAAACGTCACCGTCCGGACGACCATCAACCTCAAGCAACAGTTCCGAGACTGGCTTCAAGTTCCATTATATACACTCAATCAAGATGTCTTCCAAGAAGGATATGCGTAGGGCGGATCTGAGTAAGTTCCTCATTCCAATTCCCCAAAGTGCATGTTGTCCGGTGTCAAAGTTGCGGAGCATAAAGCTGACCCGGGGCATCGGTATAGTTATCCCCTATCAGGAGCCGGCCGCGAAGGCCGACGCCGCCGAATTCCAGTCGACTATTTCGTCAACATTGCCCATGGCTGCTATCTTTATGCGCAACCGCTACATTGGATGGTAATTGGGTCCCTACTCCACGATCTGCTCGATGCGCGCAACACAATCTATGCGACTCCGATCACAGCTATGGAGAGCTTCGAAGAAAGCTACCCGCGGTCTACAACCCAACGGCAGCCACGTGTCGTTCGCCATGTGCTCTTGGATGTGAACATGGGATGAAAGCTTGGGTGGACAGGTCGCTGATTGCGAATCATATGATACAGGGCTGCCGTCGTCTTTGCCGTCCAGAGCTGGCTCGGCGAGAGCGAAGACACCAAGAAGAGCACCAGTACACCCGGATACTTTTCCGTCGGCATGTCGTGTACGTTACCGGGACAAGATATTCCCTCTTTGGAACTGGGACTTGGGACACCCTGCTAACCTATTGCCTAGTGATGTCTCTCGCCGTCACCTACCTCCCGCTCTTCCTTCCCCCGCAACCGGGCATGCAACAGGGCAGCGTCACCGATGCCGCTCCTCCTGTCCCTGCCTAAACCAGCAAGCAGCTTATCCGATGACCGAAGGTCCTTTCCCGACGAACCAGACACGATCGTTGTTTTGACGGACTGTTCTTCCGACTTGCCGAAATCATGAAACTTGGGCGAATTACCTACACGAACGTTGCCATTGGAGAGCCTCATACGCCGTTGAGAGGCCCGGAAAATACGAAATCTTTCTGTACACCATATTTAATACCCGGTTAATTGCGAGGATGTAATGATATTATTAACGACGAAAATGAGAGAGGACGAGGCTTGGGTAATGGATGTCATCTTGTTCAGACTGACAGGATTCCGGGGATCATGGGAGGAGTAGTTGGTCAATGTTCCAGCCCGGTATAAGGGGCACTCTATAACGCTGTGATGGATCGCACGACAAGAATGACCCGACAGCACTACAATCTCTCGACGACAATGAGTTATTCGCTGCGCCAGCTCTGTTCTTGGATACGCTGAAATGGGCTGAGGACGGGCGGAGGGATGGAATCGACTATATTGCCGATGATTGAGGACACTACAAAAGGGACCCACGTCTTCAGTAACCTTTCCCAGAAACTATGGTCAGTGTAAGTCGGTCACACAGCTACTATCAATTATTCTATGTGTTCTTGCCTCGGGATTGCATGGGCCACACGTTTTGATTGCTTAGTCGTGAGCTGGTGTAGCACGACAAAGTAGGGTAAGGTTGATAACCCATAGGGCCATCTTGCTATCAACAAAGACTCAATCGGACATCGAACGTCATTATTCGTTTTACCTTCTCTATTTCGTTCTCTGGCATGGATTGCCTTTCTCCCAAGTCTTAGGGATAATGTTGCCTGTCATGTTGAAACGGCGAGGTCTTCAGGGGGTTGTTAAGCGCCCGTCCACTCGCGGAGTTTCAGATGCGACGTCTCGAGTGGTCAACGTGACATCCTCCCATGGCCTTCCACTACCAATCTCTGTCAGGAGATGCCTCGATGGAAGGCCCGAGCGGTACAACCCGGTTCATACAAGTCGATTTTATGTTTCGCTTCATTTCATCTTATTTTTCTCTTTCCTCGCCCTTTGTCCCGTTTTTGCCTCCCAATCTTTCTGTTTCTTTTGCGAGCTCGTTCGTTACCTAGCGACTCATCTTCCTAAAAGTGAAGTCACCGCGGAACTTTGTCTATACTGCGCTGCCTGTTCATTACATCAACTTCCTTCACTCGGTTCTATAATTATTCAATAATATCATCAGCTGGTCTGAACATCATACCTAATAACTCCCATCGCTCGAACGAGACACCAACCGATCGAAAACCTTCATTCATTACCTCACCGCAACAAGAAACCCCAACTCCTCCCGAAAATATACCTACCATCCTACGACAAAAGTCACCATGAAGCCAGTCACCCTCGCCGCCGCCCTCCTCTCCCTGTGCGCCTCCCTCGTCAGCGCCGGTGTAGTCATCACTCCCATCAAGCCCGATCAAGTCGTACCCAAGAACGCAGATGACTGCTTTTTCGGTGTAACAACTCCTCAAGGTTGCGGGTACGTTCGTTCTGTCTCCTTTCTATTTCACCCTTTTGGCTTGTCATTCCTCGCTCCCACTTGCATGATGGCTAACCCGCATCATATGTTAGACCCCTTCGTAACACGAAGTAGGAGTAAGGAAGGGACTACGACTACAGCATCAAGTCCTTGCTGAATCGGAGAGGTTAAGGATGGGGAACCGTACTACGACTTGAGGACGACGTTGCGGGCTTGTAGCCGGAATATGGGTTTTGGGTTCCGGCAAATGTTGATGGTGAAGAGGGGCCTGGTCGGCGGTGGGATGAATAGATAATGGGCAGGTTCAGAATGAGGACACCTTGGTCTCTCGGCTCTCAACTACGGACTAAAGGCATGGAGGGATGAGCTATCATCAACCACCTCCTCACCGAGGCGGAGAATCTCGGCTTGGTCATGTCAACGGAGACACGTGATACAGATCGAGAATGCGAAGAAGATGGTCGGACACCGGATAGCCCGTGGGTACGGCCAGAGGAGGAGGAAGAGGACGCAACCACCATCACTTTCCCGGAGAGATATGGAGGCTTTCTGGTGCGAACGGCGACGTTCAGAGCCCACCCGTTCTGTCCTGTCCTGTCCTGTCCTGTGCATACTCGAAGAACAATGAGACTGAAATAGATACCCATTAATATCTTTGTGCAAATGACACAGTCTTCACCACCCAGTTCTTGCTCCAACCATCATGAGTGTGTTGAAGCTCGTAACGATTGATTATGAGCATCGCACGGGGCCATGTGATTCCAGAGAACTTGACGGACAACCTTGCACATCTGACCGTCAGTTTGCGCTGCGCACAAACACTGCAAAGAGACGAGCTTCTAAATCGAAGAGTCACCAACACCTTGATGGCACCGGGGATTTAAGCTGCCAAAGCAGCGGAAGACATTTACAACTTCACAGCATGGTTTAGAAATGTGCCGATCGTTCGACCCGCCTTTACATGTGGTGATTCTAAGGCAGGAGATACAGAAGGGCTGTTTGTGGCATCAATCTGCCACTCAACTTCGAAGAGACCTAATGAAAGGCTCTCCAAGACTCCCGCGATACTGTTGGGCTGCAGAGCAGCAGCAGCGATCGCGTCTCTTCGTTGAGTGGTTGATGAGAGAAAAAGGGAAATTTTGGGCGGATGGACGTCGAGTTTTGACAAATTCGAAGCTTGGCCAGTGGCCCGTGCGCTCACGCGTTTGCCTGGCGGGGGACAGAGCAAAGACCCATAAAAGTGAAAGCTTTGGCGGGGCCGATAAAAACCACACCGGTCCGAGGAACTGCCGGCTCCGCAAGAACCAGACACTTTAACTTCATTTCAAAATTTCCGCTGCAACCCTCGCTTCCTCTTCCCAACTCTTCTTCTCAACAGACTGGCAGTTCCGCGAACCACAGAGTCCCTAGTCATGGCGATGGGATCTATCGGCGATACCCTTTGGGATGTCGTCATCTGCGGCACCGGACTGCAGCAGTCTCTGCTTGCTCTGTAAGCAAACTCCCTTCCCCTCTTCTCCATCCCACTTCCATCGTTCTCCTGTCTAACTGACCGACTGACATAGCTGTTCTCCGCCTTGAAGATCCCTTTCGCGATCGAGCAAGAACATTTTGCACATAGACCCCAACGACTACTATGGCGGGGCGGAAGCGGCTTTTAGCCTGCAAGAAACTGAGTCCTGGGTTGACCGTCTGGCCACCGAGGACAAAGGCCTCTTCAGGTCCGCATCCATCACCAAGCCGGATGTCGCGGGTCTCTCCTTCCCCAGGGCGTACTCGCTGGCACTGGCACCGCAGTTGATCCACGCCCGCTCGGAGCTGCTATCTCAATTGGTTTCTTCCCGGGCGTACCGGCAGGTGGAATTCCTCGCCGTCGGATCATTTTACATCTTCAAAACACCCCTCGACCCCGAACAGCAACCCAGCCTTGTCCGCATCCCCTCAACCCGCGAAGACGTCTTCTCGACCACTGCCATCTCGGCAAAGGCAAAGCGCGGACTGATGAAGTTTCTCAAGTTCGTGCTGGACTACGACAGTCCGGACCAGAGAGATGTCTGGAAGTATTTTGCCGACAAATCCTTGATGGACTTCCTACAGGAGCACTTCAAGATGGATGCCGAGCTCAAGACCTACATCATCACCCTCACACTCTCGCTGGATGGCAGGATCAGCACCGAGGACGGATTGTTCATCATTCATCGTCATCTCACCTCCATGGGTCACTTTGGTCCCGGCTTTGCTGCTCTCTATCCCAAATGGGGGGGCATCTCCGAGATTGCTCAGGTCGCTTGTCGGGCTGGTGCGGTTGGTGGCGCTGTTTACATGCTTGGTGCTGGTATCAAGTCGATGGCTACTGCTGCTGACGAGATCGAGCTCGAGCTGACCAGCGGCGACAAGGTGAAGACGAAGTTGCTCGTGCGTGGGGACGATAGCGTTGGCGATGAGCCGATCATCAGTAGGCTAGTGGCCGTTGTTGGTTCTCCGCTCAAGAGCTTGTTTGAGCCAACCATCGAGGGGGCACCGACACCATGCGTTGCGGTCGTCGCTCTGCCTGCGGGCTCACTAACAACATCCGGTGAAGCAAACACTTACCCAGTCTATGTTTTTGCTCACTCTAGCGGTACTGGCGAATGTCCCAATGGTCAGAGTAAGTTTCACCCATTTTATTCCCTTCTTCATCCCTTCCCAAGTACTATGATGATCCACATCTTGAATACTTATCTACATTGTCCAAGCTTCGGCGTTGACGATAACTACCTCTGACATTCTGATCGTACTCTCATCCATTAAACCTTTTTGCATCATTCACAACATGTTAGGAGCAAAGGCTAACTGGAAATCAATAGGTGTCATATACTTGTCCACAATGGCGACTTCCAATTCCAAGGAGATCTTGAGCCGTGCTCTTGAATCCTTCCTCTCCGCCGTGGACCATAATCAAGTCCCCCAGTGCTTGTATCAGTTATACTATGAGCAGGCTGCTGGTGTGAAGCAAAGTCGACTTGATGGGTTGACCCTTGATCTGCCCGGTCCTTCTCTTTCCCTCTCGATGGACGATTCATTGCTGCAGCATGTCCGCGAGGCGTGGAAGAAGGTCGTTGGCGACACAGTTGATGATGCAGAGTACATGGTTTTCACAGATCGTGAACCCGTGGATGATGATGATTATGAATGATTCTCGGTGATGACCATGGTAAGGGCTGGTTTCTTTACTATCATATGCACAGCCCTTTGCACATACTTCAGCATGCTTTAGAAAATTAATTTCATTATACTTCTACCACTCAATTGCCATTCCATGTTCGTGCTATCTTGTAACTGATTCGTTGTTTTTGCTCAGCTGCGAAATGACAATTCCCTTCTTTCAAATTCAGCCTCAGGGTGTTGAAGAGTTGTCGTTCGCCTGAAATCTGTTCCCCCTTCCCATAACTTTCCGAATATCAGTTCCCTATATCCTCAGCAGAGATTGAGATCCCATCCATCCCAAGCTCCGAACGGTTGTCGCCGGAGACACGAATGCCTAGCAAACCATCCATGACGGTATCCCAATTGACCTTTCCCCCGTCATGACTAACTCAAATAGGGGCAAAGCACCCCTTTTCCCATTTTCCCACCCGAAAACTCGCACCGCGAAATAACAATGAAAAATAAAACGGACCGCAAGATCGGCACCGATTGCACCGATAAAAGACTATCGTTCGCAAATCCTCCGCATCACTCACTCACTCACTCACTCACTCATCGCCGTCCTCTTCCACCAAAGCCAGCATCTCAGCCTCCGACACCTCGACGCCCACGCGAATCTCGCCAAACGGCTGGAAGTTCTCCATGTCCTGCTCCACCTTGATCGCGTCCTTGGTCGCGAGGACCAGGACGTTGTAGAAAGCCTGCGTCGCCACCTGTCGGGTTCTGTCCCTAGGTTCATCCAACAGCTCGTCAAAGGCAACCCACTGTCTGAGACGTCTGTTGTTTCCGTCTCCGTCTCTGTCACCGTCGTCAAGGGAGGCATGGGAGGGTATACCACCGTCGAGGGAACGCGTCTCTCCTCTGGTTTTGGCTACCATGTTGACGTAGGCGAGGAAGTTGCGGCCGTCGCGGTCTAGAGCATCTCGCATGACTTGGGAGGTTTCGGCCACAGTTTGAGTAGCGGCTCCAGCTCCAGCTTCGGCGGAAGGAGTACGGCGCAAGAGGTCACGGTCACCATGCGGGCCGCCAGGCAAGTGCGGAAGCTGTGATTCATCCTCTCCGGGCGGCATGATGGGGTCGGATGAGAAACCGGGGACGCCGCCCGAGTGCAAGAAGGGCGCGTAGGATCCGGCGTCGCTGAAGCGGTCGATAGGGGGGAGGTGGGCTAAGTGGCTGCCTCGGCTGTGGAGGGGACTGGCGCTTACTTGTCTGCTGGATCCGGGGTGGTGACTGTCACCTTTGACTGATGAGCCCGGGACGAGCGAAGAGGGCCGGTTCCAGGGAGCGTCGGAGGGAATGTCGGGCAGTGCTGAGCCATCTCTTCTTCCAATCTCGGCGTCTTCTTCGGCTCCTCCAGCCAGCAAGCCTCGGCCTGCCTCGGTCTGCGGCTCGACATTTTGCTGCGCTTGCGCTTGATGTTCTTCGTTTTCATCGCTGAGGCGACGACGGACTCGTCTCTCGGCGTCTTCTTCCTCTAGCTCGAGGGCTTCGAGAGCTGTGCGCCGACGGCTGCGTCTTCCTCCGGCTTCATCCTCCTCGTCGATGTCGATGCCCAAGACTTCGGCAGCGAAGCCGGCGCCGGCAAAGAGATCTGCCAGTGGATGGCTGCGGTGGTTTCCGGAGCCCAAACCGCTTTCAAGGGCGCCCACACCCCCAACTCCACGACTAAATACGAGATCGTATGCGTGTCTCTTGGCAGCAGCTGGGTTTGTAGCTGCAGCGCGTCTGGCAGCGTTGTTCGCCCGCTCGGCATTTGCGACGTAATCATTGCTCCACGATTTCAGTTCATGGCGACTGATTTTGGTGTCCTCGTCGGGTGCCAGCACAGCTCGGCGGCGCTGACGACGTTGAACAGGTGCGGCGACCGCCTCAACCACAGGCTCCTCCGCAATGACTTGTTCTTCTTCAGCTTCTTCCATGATTTGGTCTTCCTGAGCTTGCTCAACTTGGTTGGGGACAAGGCCAGGGACTTCGTCGGCCTCAGGCGGAGGAGCAGTGCCTCCGCTCATCAGCAAGTCACCTTGGTCGTTAAAGTAGAATTCCGGCTCGTCATGAACTTGGCCAGAGGCAGTGGCATGAGCTCGCTCTTCCTCGGGACGCGGGAGAATGGGTAGCTCAGGCTCGTCCACAGTTGCCATCACGTTGCCATCAGCGTCGATCTCGATTCCCCAATCGCCAAAGATCTCGGCGTTGGCCTCGGGTTCACCGAACTGCATCATATCGTCGTCGGGCTTGTGTTGAGAGAGAGGTCCCAGCGAGTAGGAAGAATGCTGAGAATACAGAGGATCTGCCGGAGAAGATTGAGGTAGATCAAGGCCGATGAGAAAGGAGCCACTGCCATCCGGTGTCAAGTTGAACCTATCCAGTGGCGAGAATTGGGACGAAGTTTTGCGTGAGGCTTGACTCTGGAATTGGGAAGCCAGGTTTCCTTCCTCGTCGAAGTGGAAGGCTGGGAGCCCCATGTTGACCTCGAAGTTCGGGTCATCTGGCAGGATGAGTTGGTTGCGCCTGCAAAGCTGAGGTTAGATTGACACATTATCTGGTCGTCGGCAAAAGGAGTACACATACTTGGCCTTTCCGGCTTGCGGATCAAGGGCATTCTCACTGCCCCCCAATACACTGTAGAAGCATCGCATGTGCATATGGATCTTCTCGGCGTCGGTGAGCACATAGGAACACTGCTGAGAAAAGACCCTAGAGACGCCATAGAGCAGGCTCCCCTGCAGGCGCAGAGCGATGGGGGCGCCCGGCTGGAGGATGGTCTCGCAAGCTTTCCGGACATTGACTTCTTGGATTGCCTTGCGCGAGATCTTCCTGTTGCTTGATCTGAGTCCAAACGTGGACACCAACCTGGAGTGAGAGTATAATCGCGTCAGTTGAACTGTCTCACCTTGAAGTCACAGACAGGTTCACTCAGGTTTACTCAGGTTCACTTACCAAACGGTGGCAACACCATACTGCTGGTTGGTTAAGACTGGTGAAGGAGTCAGTACAACTTGGTCCTCATCTCTCAGCTGAAGAAGAAGTGAATCCACTCACTTTCGTGACTGTAGAACATGGTGGCGAGGAACGGTTGTGTGAGGCGGAGAGGTTGTTATTCTCAAGTGTTACTTGGTGAAGGAGGCCAGAGCCTCGAAGGATATGATGCGTGAAGGTTGATGATAAGGTTTGAATGGAGATATTGAGAAAAGAAAGATTACGAAGGAGAACCTTGGTAAGAAAAAATGAGAGTGAACGCGGGTGAAGAGGGGTAGTGGGTTAAAAGATGCTCGGGGTCGGGTGCAAGAGCTTGACGCGTTCTACGTGCACATGGCCGAGATGGGATGGAAAGACGAGCAAACAACGACTCGACCGGAATACAATGAGCGGCATAGGGACGACCAATTCGGCGGGACGAGGATTACGGCTGAATTGAAAAGCAGGGTTGGTACCGGCGAAGTGGTCGAGTTCTTTTTCCTCCCACAATTCGCGATACTCCAGGGGTATCTTTTTTCAGAAAGGGAAGGAGCGGCTCGCAACCCAAATCACTCGCACCTTCCATCTTGAAATTGAATACTTTCAACCTAGCATGGCCTAAGCTTTGGACCAGACACCGTCCCTTCACTGGAAGAATTTCATTTCTTCGCCCTTGGTTGTCGGCCGATCTATCACATCCCCCGTCTTCTTATCCAGTTTTTCAAAAAGCTACGAGACACTCGCCTACGCAACACCTTTTCTTCGCAGAACATCTTAGTTGTTAAGGGCTAAAGTTTGCTCGACAACAACTCAAACACCGAACTTCTCTCTAACAGGCTCTATCTGTATCACTGCCAAACGAGTCGTTCTCCATTCAACACTGCTAGTCCTGCGGGACACCATCGCCCCCAGAGCTACTCTCGCCGACGAAGACCTCTAGCAACTCCTCCCAATAACCTCACAATGAGCGACTATCAACCCCGCCACGGCCGCCGCGGCTCTTCGGTCGGTGATCGCGAAGAATATGTTCCATACGCTAGCTATGCGACGACTTCTGCCGCGCCATACCCGCAAGCGCAGTATGTACCGACTCAGTTTCCCGTACACAGCGCTTCTGGCTACACCGAGGGCCTATATTCAACAATGCCAACGCATTACACCAGCTTTCGTCCTACGACAAGTGCTCCCCAGCCCTATAATCAATTCGACAGTACGAGTTTCAGATCTCCTACTCCCAAGATTGTCCAGTTCACCACTCCCCCGACTTCGTTTTCACGGGTTTCTACCCCAGACTACGAGCGAGAATCCGACAACGAGCCTGCCGATCCTGCACCAAGAAATGCGAACGGTTCTCCAATCCCTCCGCCGCCGAAGGGCTCGGGCGCCTTCCATGCCACCCCTCCCCAGCCTCCGCCTCCGCCTCCTAGCCCGGAAACCTTCCGTATCCCTTTGAAATCACTCAAGTTGAACGACCTAACCTCATCGGTTTCGGTTGGTTATCCTGTTCCCGGAGATAAGAGCGCCGCGTGCCAGCTCTGCGACTGGCACGGTCACACCGCAAAGACCTGTCCGCTAGGCTCTGACAAGAAGGACAACAAGCAGCCTTCTTGCAATGAGGCTGTTTTCACGAGCAAGGAACAGAACGAGTACCAGGATCTTGCGCGCAAGGTTAGCCACATCATCCAGAATGTTGTCCCGGATTCCAATCAACCGCCCGCAACCAACGAGACGATGATCCAGCACATCATGAAGTGCTTGTCCAGCCATCCAGGAAACCCCGAGTATGTCCACAAGCAGCTGGGCAAGGAGGAACACCAGGGTCAATGGCTCTGCATCAAGGCGATGTGTGACAACAAGTGGGAGGGCCCGGTGTCGATGGCAACTAGAGAGACCGACTGCAAGTACTGCAAGAAGAATCTCTCTGGTGATCCGGTCACCCTTTGCTACCAGATCAAGCCCAGACATGGCCGGGTAGCCCTGTATCGGGAAGTTGGTACCTTGAGAGTTTGAGGGTTCCGGGCCAGCATATAGCAAAGACTTGGCTTGTATAGCTGTGAGAGCATTCATGGTTCCGTTCAGAATATTGGAGCTTTGGCAGCGAGGAGTTTGCCATTTCTGGGCTGGCTTCTTTCAGATCTATGGGACAAAGATGGCCTTGTCAGCTTTTCCAAGAGCACTTTTGTGCTTTGAGCTTTCAGATTCATCCTATACGACACCAGGCATATGCAGAAAGTCAGGTGCGATATATTCATACCGGTTTTGTGTGGGGAACGTCTCGATGATGCGGCGTTTTTCTCGCTGCTCAGGGGTAAACAACATAGGGGCGGGGCCAGGAGATGGTTATGTCAGTCACGGTTGGCCCATAGGTTTGCTAATACCTTACGAGGTTATTAAGACGTCGTCGAGATATGAAATTCCATAGGTAGCTAAGCAGATAGCTTCCTGTAATGCCGGTTTGAGAAGTACTCCTGGGATACATTGTACCACTTAAATATGGAATGTGAATTGCCTCATAACGTCTCCTCATTTAATTTCAGAAAGTAAACAAATGTCGTCAGCGCTGATGCAGCACAGCATCACCAAGGGTTACAGAGCCAAGGAGTCTAGACAACGAAATCTTGACCAATCAGAGGAGGCGATGGGTTGGTCAACTTATCGTAGACCCCTCTGCTCCAGGCCCCTCCGTCTAATGCAACAGCAACGATCATTTCATATTTTTATTTTCTCAGTTACTTCACACAGCTCATTGACAGTTAGCGGGTTCATCAATCCTCGAACTATTCCGAGCTTTCCGCTTCGGCCGTGATTTCCTCTTTGACCTCCCCGCCTCCGGCACACGGTGGTAGTAGCTCCTTCCGGTTATATACTATATACGCTGTAGAAAATATCGGGATCTCCACTCCGGCCGCTTTCGCCATCGATCGTATGATTCGTATCACAAAGTCATTGCAACTTTATCGCTGCCCCTGTCCTTTCATAGTAACTTGATAAAACCCTATCTTTTTCTCTTCAGTTGTTCTCATTTGCTTCGGCCGGGCAGAACTTTCCACATAACATCATCTGGGGAAACCCAACCGCTCGAAATGGCGACCGAGAGCAACCCGGCGCTCGCCTCCCTCCCGTCCAACGTGCGGGAGATCATCGAGCTCGCCAACCAGCGCGATGGCGCCATTCCTTTCCGGGCAAAGACTGCTCATGTCCACAGAACTTGGGCAGGCACCTTTACCAGCTTGCCTGAGCTCTATATCCAACCGGAATCGGTCCCAGAAATTCAAAAGGTCGTCCGTTTGGCCCGGCACGCCCGGCGCCGTGTCACTACCACCGGCTGTGGTCACTCTCCTTCCGACATCACCTGCACCTCGTCCTGGCTCGTCAATCTGGACAACTTCAACAAGATCATCTCCGTTGATCACTTGACCGGTCTCGTTGTTGTGCAAGCCGGTATCCGTCTTTACCAACTCTGTGACGAGCTGGACCGCCGTGGACTTGCTCTGCCTAGTCTCGGCAGCATCAACGAGCAAAGCATTGCTGGTGCCATCAGCACGGGCACACACGGCAGCGGCATCAAGCATGGTCTTATCGGTGAAAACATCACGGAACTCAAGATCACCCTTGCCAATGGCGAGACATTGTCGTGTTCTCCCGAGGACAAGCCGGATCTCTTCCGGGCCGCTTTGATCTCCCTCGGAGCTTTGGGTATCATCACCGAGGTTACTTTCAAGGCAGTTCCGGCTTTCTCGCTTGCCTGGAGCCAGGCGATCGACTTGGATAAGCGTATCTTTGAGCGCTGGGACAAGGATCTCTGGAGCCAGGCCGAGTTTGTGCGTATCTGGTGGTTCCCCTACATGCGCCGCGCTGCTGTTTGGACGGCCGACGTTGTCGACCCGGTCGACTTGAAGACCGGCGCCGTCAAGCACCGCGAGCCGCCAACAAGCTACTATGATAGCTGGCTAGGCTACTATGTTTACCACAACCTCCTTGCTCTCTCCAGGTGGATCCCGCGCATCACTCCTTGGATCGAGTGGTTCGTGTTCGGCATGCAGTATGGTTTCAAGAACGGCGAGGCCACGAGGATCAGCGCCGTCCAACCCAGTCAGAAGGCCTTCCTGCTGAACTGCCTGTACAGCCAATCCGTCAACGAGTGGGCCATCCCTCTCCACAAGGGTCCCGAGGCTCTGCAGCGTCTAGGTGCCTGGCTTCAAAACCTGAAGCCCGGCGACCCCGGTTACGTCGAGCACGGCATCCCCTATAGCGCCGAGGGTCTCTGGGTGCACAGCCCCGTCGAAGTGCGCGCGAGCGACGCGACCGTCTACACCTCGCGGGAAGCCAACACGCGCCCCTTCCTCGACCCGACGCAGTCTGACGGCCCCACGCTCTACCTCAACGCCATCATGTACCGGCCCTACCACCGCGAGCCAACCTACAACGCCACGGAGCGCTACTACCTCGGCTTCGAGTGGCTCATGCGCGAGCTCGGCGGCAAGCCGCACTGGGCCAAGACCTTCACCGCGACGCAGGCCGACCTGGCCAGGTGGTACGGCGAGGACTTCCAGCGGTGGGGCGCCGTCCGCGAGAGCGTCGACCCCGAGGGCATGTTTGTCGGGCCCTGGCATAGACGCTACCTGCTGGAGCCCATCCAGAGCGACAAGTTGCTCCCGCTGGAAGAGATTCAGCAGACGACTAAGGAGGTTCCCGCGAGGCAGGGTGGCGGTATCGAAGTCATCGGCATCCAGAACCCTGTCGTGCCAAACTAGGTGATCGGGAGGATTCTGGGGTCTCCGCTCAACAGGATGGAGGAGGAGGCCGAGAAGGAGGAGGCCAAGCTGGGTGGCAGGAAGGCGCAGGCTGCTGGAAGATTTGAGGGGATTCGGAGAGAGAATAGGTTAGGTGGAGTTTGTGGACGAACCACTGATGAAGACTTAAGATAGTTGTCGGAATTATGGCCAAAGAGCGAGGAGGACCGTTTCGTAGAGTCTTGGGATACGTACTCTATCTTTTTTTGTTATTTTGGGATACCAGGCTGGTCGGAAAAGGAGGGAGGGATAGCAAGTAGTTTTTGTTTATCGAGTCGAATACGTTGTACTCTACAGATACCATGAAAAAGTACTAAGGTTGCAATTTTGAACGAACGATTGTGGGTTCTTCCATTCTGCAGTGGAAGTAATTTGGACACTAGTAATTGTTTGCGCCTCCTGGCACCTCACACACAGCAATGCGTATCCCATGTCGTGTCATGACATTCATCATATCCCCAGACCATTCCTAATACCGCGAACGCCACAAAAACTCCCAAGAAGAATCTGAATGTGCTCATGAACCGTAGTCTGCTTCGATTACGTTGCCACTTGATCTCTCTAGAACCATCAGTCAACGCCGTAGCCAAAAGATGACTACAGTAATCACCAACTGAAATAAGAAGCTCGCAAGAGGCGGGGCGAACCATTCCATTCCGTTACATGCATGTACACATGTACACACCCACACCCAAGCCCGAGCAGGATGTGGTTGTTTCTTCTCTTTTCATTCCTTCCCTGTCTTGCTTCCCTCTTCCACCCCCGTTACTTTTCTTCCCGTCTGCTCTCCCCCTTGCCTTAACGCCATGCGATGATTGATGCGACGCCTATGCATTTGCTGATCCAACTTGGACCTATGCCAGAACTAGAACCCGAACCAGAAAACGCTTTGATGAAACCCGAATGAAAATGGTCAAGGAGAAAGAAGTAACCATGGATTGATGTTAATGATGATGATGATGAAGCAAGCGGGTGAGCGAAGATGTCCGTCATGAATCAATCAGTCGGTCTAGCTCTGATGACTCAAATTCGACGCCGGCCTCACAAAGCTCGCTGGCCTTTTCGAGGTCTTCACAATAAACGGACTGGGCATCTCCTCCGTCTCCACCTCCCGATTCCATACGGGAGCTACCGGCCATGGTATCGACTTTGTCCCAGCCCCAGTTCCTGTTCCAGTGGCGCTGCCGCTGCCTGCACTGTTGGAAGAGGAGGTACTATTGGTATTACTTTGCTGCTGCTGCTGCTGCTGCTCGAAGTTGGCGGTTATCGGTTGGGGTTGTGATCGTGGTCGTGTCGGTAATTGCTGCTGTCCGCTGCTGCTGGTGCTGCTGCTGTCTGACGCGGCAATCGTCGCGTGTTCCTTAAATGCGCGTAGTTTGGCTTCGTTGGACATGATCGCGCTGATGGGCCTACCACCGGCGCGAGCCTGGTGCAGCTCGACGAGCGAGCTTCCGCGAATGTTCTTGGTGGCCATAAGTCCGATCTTCTTAAGAGGCGGAGCTTGTGGCAGTGGTTGTTGTGGCTGTTGGTTTGATTGTTGGTTGAACGACGATTCATCGCACGTGGATGACATCCGCTTGAGACCCCTTGTTCTGACAGTGATGTTGGATGTGACGGTGGAGGATGGCGCGTCGCTGCCACTGTTGCTGCCGCTGTTGTTGTTCGCGCTAAGTCTCCTGACCACGCCCGTTACCGACGGTATCCTACTGAGTCGTCGGGTTGGGCTGGGTTTGCGGTCTCGCAGGGCGGGAGCGCTGGGTGCGGAACGAAGGGGATGTTGTCCTATTGACGAAACTCCACTAACTGTCTTAGAGCGGGTGGCTAACGTCTGTTTGGAGCGCAAACCGTGGATAGGAAGAGGATTAGACTTTTGTTGCGAGTTGAGCGACGGCCTCGACCTGGTTGTGATAGTACTGAAAGGGTTCTTGCTGGATTTAATGATAGGTTTCGGTGAAGGAACCAGAGCCTCCGCCTCGGACTCGTCGCCAGAGTCTATCATCTCTGTTTCCCTTGGAACCTCCCAGTTGCTCTTGTCTGTAGAAGTTTGCTCCTCACCAAAAATCATCCTTGGGTTTGTGGTCGGGGCTTTTGTCAAAGCCATCCGACGGGGTGAAAGGGAAAGGGAAGCGATCGTGATAGGTGATGGTGAGGCCATTTCGATGTCCATTGGCGTGCCAAGAACCGATTCGGCGGGGGCCGAAGAATATGTCTGCGCTCTGTGAAAGGGTGTTCGTGGGATCTTCTTGGTGATATCAAAGCCATCAGTAGACTCAGCAATCGAGATATCGGTAATGTCCGTGGTAGAAGGAAAGTCGCCGTCGCCGCTACCGACTGAGGACTGGTTGAAGTCAGACACCAATGTAGCAGCAGTCGAAGAGAATGAGCCCTGCTGGCCATGACTGTTGAACATGAGTCCTCTCCCGTGTCGTTGTAGCTCTGCTTCCACCCGCGCCTGAACCTCCTGCTCGAACTTTTGTTGTAGAGATTCGATTTCCTGAGCCACCAGACGGTCAATCTCCAACCGCGCCTTGACTTCCCATTCCCTTCTCAGCGAAGCATCGATCTCGGCGCGTATAGACGATTTTTCGGTTTCGAGCGCGGACAACTTGCTGTCAAGCTCGCGGATGCGCTTGTTAAGGGTCACCTCTTTCGTTCTGAGAGTCCTGCTGAATTCCACAACTTCCTTTTCTTTCCTCATCAATCGTACAATCGGCAGGTTGAGGAGTGTGGCTGTGTCGGGCCTTCGATCGGGGTTCACGCGCAGGCAATCCTTGATTGTTGCAAAGAGTTCTCCGGAGTAAACGGAAGGTAATGGCGCGATCTTTCCCTCCTTGATCTTCTGAACCAGCTGGTAATGCGTCTTGGCGTTGAATGGGGGCTCTCGGGCGCAAAGCTCGTATATGATGCATCCTAATGACCAAATGTCCGACTTTAATGTGTATTTTTCTGCCGCGCAGATTTCCGGCGACATGTAGAAGGGGGTGCCAACGTAGGTCGAGGCAAAGTCGTGCGATTGCATGACTTTGGAGAGTCCGAAGTCTCCAAGCTTTACCGAGTTGTCTTCGCCCAGGAACACTACAAGGCAACAGGTTAGACCAGTCCGGACACGAATCACAGGGTCACCTACCGTTCTCGGGCTTGAGATCGCGGTGCAGAATAGTCATGCCACCCGAAGGAGGCTTTGGCTTTGCTGTTGCGCCCAAGCCAAGGACGGTCTTGCCGACTTCTGGAGGGTCGACGCCATAGTGGCAGCGGTACAAAGCGGTGACAAGCTGGGCAAAGATACTCCAGACGAACGATTCTTCCGCGTACTGGTTATTCTTAATAAGGTTGCGGATAACACGGCCCAGGTCGCCATTGCCACAGTATTCCATGTAGAGATGTAGGTCTTGGGTCGCTTTGAGATGTTCGCGGTGGTAGTATCCGACGATGTTGGGATGACGTAGGGTCGAGAGGATCGAGAACTCGGCGTGCAACTGTTCGCGCTCCTTTTGCGACATCTTGAGGTAGCTGATCTCCTTGCGGCAGAGGATCATGCCGTCGGCTTTGCGCCGCACCTTTCGGATGATGCCGAACGAGCCATGGCCTGTGTTTGTCAAGCAAGTCGTTGTCAGCCATCAATTTCACTGCTACCCTTGGTGCATGTGCAGGTGGAGCGCCGTTGGAGGATTGGAGGAGGGCATTCTCGCATACCGATCTTTTCTAGAAGCTCGTACTTGTCGCTCTCCGACATTTTGGCGGTTGACTAGATCAACGGGACCTTCTGACAGGCTATCATGAATTGGGAAGAATATGCCGCCTGATCCATAAGACAATCGTTTCGGGAAGTGGACCGTGTTGAAGTCGACTAAGAGGTGGTAATGCAATTGATGCGTTGTATGCGATGGATGCGATGGATGCGATGGTTATGGTGATTGCGATGGGGGTATTCTGGTGCCGGGAAAGGATGTGCGCGATTGCGTGTAACCAATTGAAGTTGCGTTCCGGGTCTTGTTGGGTCGCCCGGCTGGTTAGGTCGTGGACGTTTCGGATGGGCTGCCCGATCCAAGACGCCTGCGAACCTGTCAAAGGGAGAATCCCTACCAGTCAACATCGCGTTGCCTAGCAACTGGCGCGGGGCGGTGAAGCCGTACCCACTTAAATGTAGCCGCCGCCTTGCCAGCAAACCTTATCGATAACAACGATGAGACATGATAAGATAAGATAAGATACGCACTTGACGGCCGTCATCGACCAGGACTCGGCACCGACCCCTCACCGACGGGCCCGTGCAACACAGCACTTACCCCGCATACAGCCCTCTGAAAGGGAAGGCATCAATATATATACAGAAGGAGCCCACGAAGACAGGAAGGAAGAGGTTATTCAGAATGGAAGGAAGCCAGGCACACGAGGAAGTCAGGTACTTGGCAAGGCCTGACAGGAAGGATGGTTGGGGACGGATTTCCATGTATTTAAGACTGGCCGCCCCAGGCTTCTGGAGGTTCTCATTTTCCTCCTCATCTTCATCTTCTTCTACCAATCAATTCAATTGACACAAGCCTTTTCCCTGACACGGCGAGTCGGCTCTCTTTCTGGTCCGTGCTAGCGCCCCGTACCCGAACCCGATTGCGTTGGTCCTCCGTCTGCTTACATATCTCCGGCGCCCGGGATACCATCTTGAAGTGCCGCCACCCTCCTTTGATGCATTTCTTCTCCATATATAAACTTCTCGTTCTGTTCCTAGACCCTTGATGTCGATACTCCTTCCTTGTAGCATTCAAAAGTTGGCAAAACCAAAGGAATTTTACGCACAGCAAAGATGGTGCTTCGCAAAGACCAGCTCGAGCTCAAACTCAAGGACGATGAACAGCTTATCCGTCAAGGCATCCTCCGCAATGAGCATCCCTTTGAGGATTCCCCAGAGTTTCATGAGTTCATACATGCATGCCGTCGAGGTGATCTGAAGCATTGTCAAGAGTTGATCTCAGGTGGCGTCAACATTAATGGCAAAGACAAGTACGATTATACTCCGCTCATTATTGTATGTGATGTTTTCGCTTCATAAATACTTCTTTAATTCTAGAGTAATACTGATATTTCAAAAGGCAAGTCTGTGTGGACATTATGAATTGGTGCAACTCCTGCTAGAGTCCGGTATGTTCTGTCGTAAAGCACCAACTCTCCACCATTCAGTCACTTACATGCAAGCGCAGGTGCTCTGGCTGACCCCGATTCATTCGAGCGAGAGCGTGCGGTCTACAACGCTCTGAATAACAAGATCCGGAATCTGCTTCTTTCTTACGATTACACCAAGACTGCGGATCCTTTACAGGCATGGTCGTCACATATCACCTCATTGCTTGTCCGCGAGATTCCGAAGACGACGGACATCACTCTCCTCACAGCTTCCGAGTCGTTCCACCTGCATAAATTCATCCTTTCTTCCAGATCGCCCTATTTCCGGAGAAAGTTCGCCGAAGCTCCTGAAACTGCTACTTGGAAACTCTCCCATTCCATTCCAGTTGAGGCTTTCCGGGTAGTTATAAGATATCTCTATCTTGGTGAGCTACCACGCGACCTTGTGGGACCTCGGAGTGCAGCCACCGAGGAAGAGGTCTTTAAGGGGATTGACAAGCTCTGCAAGCAGCTCGAAATAGCCCACCTGTGGGAAGCTGTTCTTTCAACGACCGACCGACGCTTGGCGCGCCAGAGACATCAAGATGAGGTTCAGCGTGCTCAGGCTCAAGTAACGGCTTACTTCCGAGACACGGTCCTGAAGCACAAGTTTACGGTTGACACTCGTCGGGTGAGGGACGTGAAATGGCCCCGAGACAACGCCATCTCCGCAAACTGTTTGTTGCGTGCGGACGAGTTCGACGAGTTCGACGAGGGCGAAGGGGAAGATGTCGTTGAGCCGGCGGAAGAGTCGCTCATATCTAGTAATGGCATCCCCATTGGTCCGATAGCGGCCTTGAACTCAACAAACGGAACTTCGAATGGTGCGAAAAAGCCCAAACGCTCAGTCCTCTTCCCGGTGCACAAAGCCTTCCTCATCCGCAGTCCCTATTTCGAAACCATGTTCTCCTCCGAGTTCATGGAAGCCAAGGAAACCGAGCATCTTCACGTCATCAAAGTGGACTGCCTTCCCGAAGTCCTTGAGATTATCCTAACATTCCTCTACACCGAGAAGTCCGACTGCCCGCTTGAGTTGGCCCTCGATCTGCTCTACGCGACGGACATGTTACTGCTGGATAAACTCAAGACCAAAGCCGCCGTGGCAATCAGCACCCTCGGTAGCGGCACCAGCAACGCGCTGGTAGACCGAACCCACGGCGGGGCCGCGGACGAGCTACAACAATCACCTCCTGCAACGTCGACTTCGACGCCTTCAAGCGGGCAGCAACAAACACCTGGGTCGTCGACTGAACGGGATGGACAACCAGTCGAAGTGGAACCCATCAACGTCTACGACGTCATCCACGCCGCCTGGGATCTCAAAGTCCAGCGTCTGGAAGATTTCGCCGCCAAATACCTGGCCAGCCGACTGGAGGACTACATCGACGAAGAAGAGTTCGCCGAGTTGATCCAGGAAAGTGCGTCCCGGCTCAAGAGGCGTGAGGAGACGGACACTATCGAGTTGCTGGACGATATCCGGTATTACCTGGGCGAGCGATTCCGGTTCCGGTTTGAGGGTGATGGCATTGGAGAAATGCTGAATGAGGAGGGCGAGATTGATGCTGCTCAGGTAGAAGGACTGGCAGCAGAGGCTGAGGATGGAGAAATCCGTCCCGAACAACCTTCAGACGGGCAGAGGGAAGTGGAAGGAGAGGAAGAGAGGAGAAGCACTGAACGTGATGGTGAGGAGGGAGGAGGTGGTGTACGAACATTAGACGGGAAGTTGGTTGAGGATGAGTTTGTGTCTGATGCGGTCAACTACCAGATCTTGCTGGAAAAGATCGATAAGATGCTTGATCGTCTCAAGCTAGGTGCTTGAAGGGTTGCGAGCGTTTACAGGGGAAGATATCGCATCAAGGCATTAGACGTTACATATGTTAAGACTAGATACAACGGTGGTTCTGTATGAATATGGTTCGCATAGAAGCCGGTCGTTTGTTTCGGGTCCCTCTTTCTCATCGCAGCGCCAAGAATTGAACTTGGTTTTTCTCGCAACATCCTCCCCTTACAAAGCAAGAATAGGCTAGCAACATCATCGTCTTGCATTGTAAACTCAGCCATGTCTTCTCTTCGCCAAAGAAAAAGAAAAGTCTCCCACTATTCCTATGGTGTTGACGGTGCTGAGATATCTGTAACACCATTATTGCAAATATTGCCTTCCTTCCTTAACGCCATGCTCCCAATACTTGATGCGGGCTTCCGCTCCAAGGACGACTGTTGTCTCCAACTGCTCTTCTTGCAGATATTCCAACGTCAATCAAACAATATTCTTTTTGCTTTTCATCGGCCAGGCTTCTTTGTGTTAGGGCAGCGGTCCGGCGGTCTCTAAGAAAACAATTCAACCCCCCCACATACCGAAAAGTAACAAAACATTATCTACGTACTCACCATCTCAAGCTCCCATTGCCATGACACAACGACCCTGGGCTGAGATATCTTGAGATACCTACCAAAACACAACTCGATCCGCCATCCAGCCGCCCTCGGGGCCCGGCATATAACACCACAAAACACCCGCTCAGAACAGCCAGGTAAGGTTGCAGTAGGCAGGGTGTTTCCGTCAACCGTTTCAGTAGCGTGCCCATCAACCAATATCACAGAAAAAAACTCTCATCCACCTACAAACACAGCCATCACCTTTAAAAAACCGCCATCTCACGGTAAACGTAGCACATACCCCCTTGCAAGGCGATCACGGCCTCAGCCACGGCTAGCCCCTGAACGAATCCCCCCCAAGTCTTTTTCACGACCCCATGTCCTTCGGCAGTTCTTCGAGCCGGGGTGCTTGTTGTTTCGAAGCTGTGGATGCGAGAAGAGAAAAGGAGAAGACGGCGATGATCCATTCCAGGTTTCCAGGTCTCTGGTGATGATTATCAATCAGCCCGTGCGCTGAACTTGTTGACTCGCTTGAGTGGTGTACATGTCAAGAAGTACACTTGCCTGGAGGACGGTCGTACTGTGTAGGTTGAGTGAAAGTTTGAAACACGGGGCGGGCACGGCGGGGGAGATCTCCCGCGCTCGCATTCTCGGCTGTGATGGGTGATTTACATTGGCAATTGGCACATCTGCATTTTGATTCATTCACAGCCGTTAGGGGGGAGCACTTTGTTAGTCAGCTGTTGTTCTCTGATCTTGATCTTGCAAATTGCCGTTGGCAAGTAGTGTAAAAGACAGCTCTGATAGGAACGTATGCGGCTCATCGATCGATCGTTCATTGCTCATCGTTCTTTTGGTCGTTCTAGTTGTGTAGTGTAATGGTACCTAATACGCATGCTATGAGTGACTGATAGACAAGCAGCAGACGTTACTGCGTACATACCTTCTACATATGTAAGCAATCATATCCGGAAATATTAAGCGCACAAGCGCGCCTCATTCACATCTCTTCCTTTTGCCTACAGCATGCACCACCACTCACTCATCACGCTCACATTCACATTCACATATTCACACCTGCGTACACACCAGCCCGCGCGCACACATAGCATAGCACATCACACTACATACAGTACCTACTTACCAAGAAGCGAAAACAACGGCAGGGGAATCTTGGAGAAATCGCGATGTGATGTGATCAATGTCTCGGGTTGATATCAAGCCCTCCACGCCGGGCACGCCCACAACCCTTCCAGAAGTCCTTATGTCTCGGTTCCGAATATCCCCTCTCGCTTCCCTTAGGGACCCATCATCATGGCTTCCATGCCATTGTTCTGTAGGTAGTCAGGATTGCACCATACGATAAAATGGAAGAGATCTTCACTTCACGGCCGCGGTGGGGGCGGGACAAAAATTATTTCAAAATATATAAATTTGGGAAAGAACTGCGGGAGAGGAGGCTGAGTTGATGGCGGGTTTGTTGGTTAGTGTAGAGGTAGTTCTTTGCTTTATGTTGTTGCCTAGTGGGTTAGACGAGATGAAGAACTACATTTCATCGGGAGGTTGAACCTAGACAGTCGTACGGTTTTCTTTCGTTGTTGAAGGTTGAAGGGGATGGTGGTGGCTGTGTTGTGGTTGACAAAGTGATGGTCTGGGACTCCCGGGACAACATTTTGTTATGCTTCCCCTTGTGCCTGCCGCGTACGTAAAATACCGTGGCCCCGTTCTGTGGGTGGTTGCAGGGATGTAAAGTTGTACCGTACAAGGCCCGAAAAGAAGCTTTCCGTACAGTACAGCACTGTACTGTGGTACCTACAGTAGCAGAAATTACAGTTGCCTTGTGCGAACGGGTGAAGGGAAAAAGGGGGGAAAGGAAAACAATGGTGACAAACCACCACATTTTTGAGCCGAGGCTTATGGGTAAACAGTATTGGTTTGAGTAAAACCATATCGAGCGAGAAAAAGCGGTAGCAGTACCCTGTGCCTGGCTGCCTGTCCATCTTACGTTGGCCCCACGATATATGCCAGCCCCTGACTCGCGAAGTCCCGAAATGCCATGGGAAGCGAAGCGATGGCTGGGAAGAGGTTATCGTACGCTTCTGGGCTTGGCTTCTAGAGATATGTCTCACTTTATCGACTCGACTTGTATGTAGCCGAGTCGCATCATGTATCGCTTGTTTGTCTGTCATTATCGTCACTGTTGTCGTCGTCGTTGCCGTCGTTGTTATGTCCGTTCTTTGAGCTCAAAAACGGACTGCCTGTCAATGACGGGCAAGCAAGCAAGGGCATGGAAGAAAAGCAAAGAAAGAAACATGATCGAAAAAACCAACCAGTATCAACTGGAAACCCCATCAGCCCATCTGCCCATCTGGGATGTGCCGTAACAATGAAGAAAGTTGGCGCTGATCCCAGGCGGGACTTGGCGTCGATGATCGCCAGCGCCACGCAGAAAGCCATCGTTTCAGCCAACAGAAAAGAGCGAAATGGCTGACAGCTGGGCGCGAAAGTGGTATGTAATTTACAACGCCAAAGAGGACAAGCTGCTGTTGCGATACGTATGCGTACGTACGGTTTCCCATTGATACCCCAAGGAGCGAGGGAGTGTGCCACCGCGTGCTGCTTCCCCCAAACGGTCGGATCATCGTGTGGCTTCTGCGCTGAACAGAGATAATTATAGCGCTGTCCGCCAGATGTTGATCATTGACGATCTGGATTCCTTTCTTGGGGATCTCTCACAAGTGCTGTATATACGGACCACAACTCCTCCGTACAATGTAGGTACTAGCGCTTACTATGTAGTTAGTATGCAGCTGATTGCTGCCAAAGGGCTGATCCCCCAGGCGTATGTAGTGTACGCTCGGACCGAACTGGCGTGCTTTTGACAGGCTGTCAGTCAGATGCGCAATACGGCAAGCGAAAGCGATCTGATATTCCCTTTGATGCGCGCTGCGTATGTCTCTGCCTGGGCAATTCATTGAATATCATCGATCAGGGCACAGGGGAGAGAGAGTTGCCTCAACACGACACGTTTGCAACGCTTTCAGGGGAAACCCGGTACCTCATCACGTAAGGTTCGAGCTTATCGAGCGGAAATCTCCGTGAAACCCGAGTCGGCACGGGGTTTTCATGGCATCGAAATGTTCCATTGCCGGCTTCAACTCCCGTCGTCACATATGTATCTCGACACAATCAAAAAGCCGCGATTCAGGGGTCGCCGGTCTTGACACAATATGGAGCCATCTCTCAGCATTAGCTCGGCCGCATTGTTGCTGCTCTCGGCCTTTCGGCTCGATGGAGGCTGGAGCACTCGCTTGCGACGGAGCTCTGGATCCGCACCGCGCACCGAGTGGGAAGTGAACTTGCCGGGAAGCCATAGATCCCTGGAACTGGCAAGCGGAAGGGAAGGCGGCATGTGTTGGGCGGCGATGATGGCACAATGGCTCGATAATCTGCACGGGTCAGACAGATCGTGTGGGGTTTTGGGTTCGTTTCGACCTTCGTCCGATGTCCAACCTCACTTCTCTCGGGACGAATTGCTGGAGTTGTTGAGGAACGACTGGAGGCGTCTTTGTATCGGATACCTAGTCAAGCATACACAGGGTTCGTTTTGGTTTTATCTTGTCGAACCTGGTCAGATGGAATATTGCCACGGTAATCTTTTTTTGGTAGGTAATAAGGAATCTCCAAACATGATGGATACGGTTGCGGTTCTGTTGGTCGTGTCAGTGGCCACCAGGTGAAACAATAGATATCGAGTCACCGCAGAATATTAGCGGTTAGGGAGGAACCTGACTTCATATCTCTGAGACCTCGTCTCATGGCTTTGGTTGCACAGACATGGCGGGAAGGTCGAGTTACTCAGCATGAACAGTAGGCGTCGAGACTGATAAAGAGGCGTTATGAGCCTCGCATAAGATTTAGCCGCCGTTTTTCAGTGATACAATATCGAGGCGGGGGTTGAGAGGCCTGAAAGGAAACTATTGTTCAACCGCTGTCAGTGTCTCAGTCAGGCTATGGGTGAATTTCTCAATCTCGAAGCCAACTGCGTAATACAGGGGAGTGAACGAAAATCATTGCCGGACGAGGTGAGGTGATAGAAACTCGAGTACGATTCACAGCCACAGAAGGCAAGATTAGACGAGCCTCATTCGTATTTGCCAGTGACCGGCGCTGCTTGTTTTTGAAAAGAAACGTGCTGTGAATTGTGATGCAATCAGGTCGATGAGGTGATAAGGTTGACCCTGATATCGCGAGTTTGGCAGGCATGCAAGTGCTCGACTCACCATCGGTCGGTTCCTGGATGTCATGGCCACACAAAGTTCCGCCGCTTCCGTGACGGGACCAGCCGCAGGCATCTTCAGGCTGATGCGCAACCAACGAGATCATGCGTATTGTTGTTGAAGACTGTTCGCTGTCTGGATAAAGTTAGCAAGGCCGATAGGAGGAATAATCATCGAAAAGCACATTGGCGTAATCTTATGTTGTCAATGCCAATGGATGCCAATTATGCTTCGCCATGGGAGGCCACGGAGGCCCCGACAGGAGTTCTTGGTTATAGCGCTGACTGCTGAGCGCTCAGGTCACCCGCCCTAGGGGCCCAAGGCCGGCAAAGTTACCTTACGATACGATACGCAGCAGTAAGGTACTGTGTCGTATGCCCATGACATCAGCACCTGGCAGCTTTCTCGGCAGCCCCTCCGCAGCAGCAACATCTCGGCAGCGGGCGGGCAGGCAGAGAAGCCAAGTGTTGATCCCATCCACATGGATCGGGGAACATTTTGGGAACAGGCAAGGATATGGGACCCCGGTCTCGCTTGGCGAACAGGCTGATCGACGGTGATCAACCGAAATGCGACAGGGGGGCGGATCTCATTGCTCAGTTGGCTGGCCCACGCACGAGAGGAGGGGCCGGGGAGTGTCGTCGTCGTTCATCAAGGGAGGGGGGTCGGGCGAGCTGGACTGGACGAGGGGTGGGAGGGGTGAGAAAAAGAAGAACGACAATGTGGGTTGATAGGAAATGGAGCACCATCAGCATGAAGATGGAGAAATGGGATGGTATGCCTCTGGACGCTAAACTCGAATGGTACGCAACCCGAGCACGGGCTGAAATTGTACGGATGCCAGAGAAGGGCGCTAGAAAGAAATGAGACAAGGTCGTGACAGGCGTGACAAGGTCGAAGGGAGGACGACGAAGTCAACGAGTCGACGACGACGACGCCCCCCCAGCCAGCGGCAGTGGGCACAAGAAAGCAGGAGCTGCAACGGGCCAGGGGAGCCCCGCATTGGTGGAAAACGACGTCGGACTCGAAGTTGCCTTCGCTCGTCCTAACGGTCTTTCCATACCTTCCATTCCCCACCCCACCACATCCCAGCTTGCCCCGAGTCAGGACGTGATTGGCGCCGTAGCCCAAAAAAAAGCAAAATGAAAAAGCTGAAGACTCCTTCCAAGAGAATACCGTTGTTGCTTGCCGTCCGTCGTCGACAACACCACCACCATCATCATCATTGTCGAAATTGCCTGCCGGGAAAGTTGGATGGTCTATGGGTGAGACAACATCAAGCGATGCCATCATGGCTGATTACGAACCTTACCCAGAACGGCGAAATCTCCGGTAATGTACGTGCTCCGTAATTCATCTTGCACATCACGGCCAGGGGATCCTCGTGAAGTGTGGTGAGGCTCTTTTCGACCAGCTGCAGCGTTCCATGAAAGGAACTGCAACCTGAAATTGTTACATACGCACAGGTACCATCTCTGAAATGATGGGGCAGGTACCTGTATTTTACCTTAAGAAGGAGTGTGGCCCGTCCACCTCCCCGTTCGAACCTCGGATCTTCCACAGGGGTGGGCATCGCTGACGCGGATGAATGATGGGGGGAGGAATGGAGGATGTGATGCCGTGATGGGTACACAGTAAATCCCAAAAGTGGATGATGTTTCTGTTTCTCTTTTCCCACTCGCTTGACATTTCTCCATTTCCACCTTCACCCACCTTCTCCCACCTTCTCCCATCATTTCCCCCCCTTGTGTTGTTTTTGTCCACACTTTTTCACTTAGCGGTGGTCGGTGCGGTGCGGTGCCCGCTAAGAAGTGCTCAGGTGCTTCAGATGCTCCATCCTCAGTGAGTGAGATGCACTAGCACCGGTTCATCTTCCTCCCACATTCCTCACCGCCCTCGTCAAACTTGCCGTCTGTCGTCCATCAAACCACCATGAATTGCATGATGCGCAAATCCTCTACCGACTAGCGCAATAGTATAATCAGTAGCGTTATTAGATACGGGGGCCGTCCGGCGGGAAGGGGAGTACGTAATACTCCAATCCCCGAAATATCGGCCAACTACGAGTCTACGGGCACCACTAATGACTGAACTGTGAACTACTGGGCTGATAGCGTTCCACGCTATCGCCGTACCTACCGTTCGTTACCTACCGATCTTCGCTTCCTTCTGACGAGCTGCCGGTGCCGATGCTGAGCTTTGCTATGCTGTGATTTGGTTGCCGTGTCTGGGTACAGTAGTCATAGGTCGTGGTGTTGAAGCTAGGTGATTGCCGATGTGAGCATCTCATGGAGATCCAAGGTACAACCCAGACAACGGGACAACGAGTGAGACATTCCACGAGCTCCATTCCCAAAATCGAAAGGGCTTACAAAAGTTAAGAGCCAAGCTTTATTACGTATGTCATGTCAAGCTGCCATTTGTCTGTTTCCCGCGTTTTTCTTGTGTTGCCCGAACCGACTGCCCTTTGGGCTGCTCCCTTTATTCGCTGTGTTGATCTGCCGCTGTCTTGGTAACAAGAAAGAGAGACAAGCATCTGGATCTGTGTGTGCTTGCGAGTAAGACATACGGATTTGCGGTACTTAACAACAGTGCTGTTATGTTCTATTCCTGAAAATGACTCTCGTCGAATATCGAGTCCCTCTTTTGCGTCTCTCTCTCTCAGAGAGCAGAGAGGGGTGGCTGTCTTGCTCGGCGTTGGTTGGTTGGTCGCTAGCAACACTTTAACTTCCGGCGTCTTCATGCGCCTCGTCGAAAAATTTCCCTTTTCAGTGCCTCCCTCCGGACCCGGTCCATGTCGATATCCACGCACTTGGTGCCCTCCGTGTAGATCATACGACGGAAATGAGATCGGGGAATGGGGTAAGAGAGGGAGGATCTTCGTCCCTTCTCGACTCTCGGCTGTCGACTTTCGACTCTTTGTGATCTCTTGATCAGTCAGCGAGCCATCGTGATGTTCCTTCCCCCTCTTTTGATGTCCTTGCTGGTTCGGATATGAGGTTTCCCCCCCCCTTGTCGTCACAAGATATGTCAAACACATTCTGTTTTCTCTCTCTCGCTGAGGAACGAGGGGCTGTGATGCGCTTCAAGCATCCGGTCGGCATTGTCGACTTCTGTCGTTCAGTTAAGGTGACGGCGGGTTGTTACACGCTTCAAAGGCATTGTTAGTGTTGCAACGGAAATTGCTGGGTGTACAAAGAATGCAGTGATTGATGCCATGTAAATCCACGCATCCTGTTGTAAGACTGTGTGACGAACAACATGCCAAAACTGACGTCGGTTTACAGTTGTGGTCCAACACCTACAAGATGAGAAAGGATGCAATGTTGCACAAAACTTACTCAAGATATAGACCACCCTTTATGTGGCTCTCCGTTTGGGCTGAAGAAGGAAGCCTGTAATTTCCACCAAGCACATTTTTCAAAGTCATGTAAAAAGGATGAACAGATTGAGTTGCTTCACTTTTGTCAATTCTTGCTGGTATCAAGTATTTGTTGGCCTTTTGCTTTGACAATTCCGTAGTCCGCCCTATCCGTTCTCATGCAACGTTGATCCCCGGCTTTGCTCTTCAACTTCTTTGTGAAGGCCGGCTCGTAATGCTAAATGCATAATCGCCCATAGAAGGGCATCCCGCTCCATATACATTATGTTAACGTGTGGGGATATGAGAAGAAAAAAGAAAAACAACCGCCAATTCATGCCAAATACGAGCCTTTCCTTTGGTTCTCGCATGTCATCTCCGCGTAAACGCCCGTGTAAATGCTGAAGCAAGCCGAAACCGTTTCGCGCCGTGGGGAGCTTTTTTGTGAGTAGCCAACCCCAAAGGTCATCCTGAAACCCCTTTAGACCCTGTAGACCCTAGACCGTGACCTGCCGTTCCGAAAAGAAACCCCGATCTTTTTGAAATTGTGAAACGCATACAGGTTTTTGTGTGTACCTGTTGTTGAACAATATGAAATCTTTGCCGGCCCCAAGCAGTGATGCGCCATTTGTATCCGGTGATTTGTCGCCCTCTTTTCCGTAAACACATGCTAGGCTTTGTAGGAATGCATGCCTGCATATAAAATCCGACTTCCCATGGAGGTGGTGATGAACACTTGTCGAAATCTTTCATGCCAATCCGGACCGTCTAGGCTGATTGGAAGCGCAAAAAGAAAAGAACCGAAGATTGGTCGCTTAGGCAGATGAGCCGTTGTTGCTGTTGCCGCTGCTGTTGCCGTTGCTGCTCTCAAAGCTGTGGCATCCACGCTCATGACGCTTCATGTTGCTGCGAACGCTGAAGGCCTTTCCGCAACCTGCATGGGGACACTTGAAAGGCTTCTCGCCAGTGTGAGAGTGGCTGTGGATTCGCAATGAGCTAGGTCGAGAGAAGGCCTTGTTGCAGGTCTGGCAGATGTACCGGTCCTGAGACTGCGGGAAAGATGCAGTGGAAGAAGGAGCGATATAGTGGTGATGTTGCCAAGGGTTGGCTCCCGTGGCTGGTGCGAGGGTGACTGAAACTGGCACAGAAGGGGTGAAAGTCTAAAGCAAATGTTAGAACAACCTTCCTCTATTGGATCTGGCTGATTATTCTCACCTGAGGAAGTGGTCGCTGGTAGTACAAGCCCGACATCTGCTGCTGCGGAGGGGGTGTCGGCTGCATGGGAGGATAATAAGGGTTCATGCCTGACTGACTCGAGTAGCCAGCTGGCGACGGGTACACAGGGGCTCTGGGTGCAGCAGTGGCCATCTGCCGGGAGTCGGCTTCATGCTGGCTCAAAGGCGGCGTGGTCTCATAGTAGTAGTTGGAGCTGCCCTGGGACTGGCTTGTTGGCTTGCTTGAAGGAGAGTGGTATCCCTCAAAAGAAGCCTCCGAGGACATGGGAGGACTAGGGGGAAGGTTCGCCCTGATGGATGCTGGGTTGCCAAACTGGGAAGAGTTGGGACGGTTGTCAGGCTTTGAGAAGTGTACTGAAGAATGGTTAGTCTTGCCACAGTTCCCTGGTATCAAGATGGGTTGGCCGGCCATACATTGCTGAGACTGAGGAGATGTCTCTGAGGTAGGAGATCCCTGATCGGCCATGACGAGCAGGTTCGAGATCGAGGGCAGGGAGCACTTGTTGGAGTCGTCCAAAGGAGGGGAGGGTGGCGGGGCGAAGCCATAAGGCTGGGCAGGATATTGAGGCGTTAACGTCGTGGGTGCCATTTTGATGTCGGTGTGTTAGGTTTGAAGTGTAGAGGACCGGTCCGTGTTGACGATATTACTACTGCCTTGATCGAGGCGAAATGATGCTTGGTGAGTAAAAGTATCGCTTGGTGAAGTCGGACACGTGTGGTTGATGTTTGTGGTTCAAGGCGGCGACTGGACTGGTTATAACGGTGACGATGTCGTTTCTTTGTCTTTCGGACCCCCAAGCTCTGAAGTGGGCAGGGAGGTGAGAGGAGGGGGGCTAGCTTATGTATGCCGAAATTCAAAAGAACCTTGTTGACAGTGATTGGGGTGGACAAGGTTGTCCTGTACATGGTACCATTTAGATCTCCCGAGGGCATGGAGACAAGAGTGGATGATGCGGTGCCCCCCTACAGGTTGATCCCCGGAGGACCAAGGCCATCAGTGGATTCAATTCACTCGTTGTCACAAATTATGGTGTGGGTCTACCGGGCGGTGGGCTTGGGGCCTTCCAGCGATAGAATCTTAGGTGGTGCTGTGCAGCAGCAACCTGTGCCAGGCCAGGGACCAGGGCTCTCAGGGCTATAGGTGAGCGTTGATCAGATGGATGGAAAGTGGGTGAAGCTGCATACGGTACGTACCGTAAAATACCTCTACCTTAATGGAGATGCAGTGTCCAGCAAAGGTACTGACATAACAGCTCCTGCTATATGCAAGCTCTGACATCGGCTGCGTCGGGGTCGCCCTTATTGATACCATGTGCGCCCTGACCCGTCGTCTGTAAACACGGATAACTTGTCGCCCGTATAATGAGCTGCTATCTTCTCGAGGCTGTGATACACTACGGTCAAGGACAAGAGGGCTTGAGACGCCGAGTAGGCTCGCCAAGGTTGATCGATCTCCAGAGACCAAAACGGTCGAGACTCGATGTCAGTGAAGGACCCCCGAGTTGGCCGAGTCAGTTCTTCCTCAAACCTGATTTTACAGCCGGGATCCCCACGTTTCTTGTGTAATTAAGAAGCCGGCAGGAAAAGGATCATCCTGATACACCCACCTCTCCCCAACTAGAGGGATTTCCAAGTACGCAAGGCGGAGGAGTCCTGGTTCTCAATACAGGCTCTCACAAATTCGACGGAGGTCCGCCTGGTCACCACACCCGTGATGTGTTGGAACAGAAAGGATCGTCCTCCCACAGTGGGGATCCCTTGTACCAGCCAAGCTAGTGTAGCCGATTGCCGTTTTGATGGGCTTGCATAGAACCGTGAGACGCTTGACTGAAAAAGGATACATGCCCGTTCTAAGAGCTGGTCTGTGTCCACCATCAGCCCCTGGCTGTCACGAACGCTCTCTGGGCGTCTGGGAATGAGAGGACCCCTGAAGCTATGGGCAAGACTTGAGACGAGGAGCAGCACCGACATCTTGTAAGTCCGATCATCTGCATGGATATGCGGATGTGGGCGAGCCACCACAGCTTTCAAGAGTGCAGTCTCCGGGAACATGCTTGGCTTCTGCTGTGACCGGATTGTCGACATGTTTTTATGCCGTACCCATCTTCCCGCCCTGTCAACGGCCTTTCGAAAACAAAGACCGCTTTTTTAAGGTTAAGATGGCTCGTGTCCCTGTTCAGATCAGAATATCTGATCAAATCAGGGGCCTTGAATGGAACTTTGTACCTTATAGCAGCTCCTTGGATGTGGGCTACCGCACAAACTACCTGATCTTCCTCATCCACGACGTGGAAACAGATGCCCTGCTTCACTTCACGACAGTTGGTGTACGTAGACCTGTACACTAGCGTACGGCGTCCACACTGATGCCGCTCCGCAAGCCGTACTCGATCAACAACCAATAGACCCAGCAAAGTGACATATCTCTTGAGGTCCAGGCGACGCCATGCGGTCCTGGCAGGCGTCCTCAATAATCGAGAAGAAATTGCTGCACGTGAGGGCCATGCGAATCTTGGAATAGAAGCGCCGATCCTCTGTTCAACTGGAGTGTGGTGCACACGTTACGCGGGTGGTAGAAAGGTTACGTACCTCTACCCAGTACGGCGACGATCCAAAAACCGGAACAGTCTCAGCAGCGCAGGAATCGGTAACATCCTCAGATCGCTGTGGAGCAACGGTCGCTCACAATGATCCCATTAAAGGGTCCCGTTCTGGTCATTACCGTGACTGCCGGGGCCAATGGCACGGTTACGGTCGCTTGCGAAGTTGCGTAGCCCAGAAATCAGAACCACAGTATGGAGTGATACACGAAATGCCCCAATATCAGTACCGAATATCTCACGTACATAGCACAAGAACGACATACATACCGATGTGATATTCTACAAACGATAGTTTGAGAACGTTCTCGCTGGTTGCCGGTGGCTTCGTGACAATGGTTCTCGTCTTCCCTAGTGTACAGCCCTGTGTTCTGGGTCGAATCGTCACACCTGTCGAGGTCATATACTGTGGGGAGAAGCGAAGCTATATTGATATCATCCTCAGGCGGTTTCTGGAGAAACCCCCTCGGGGGGTTTCCAGAAACGAAGCTAATCTCCAGCGATCGTCGGTTGTGTAATCCGGAGAGCAAAGTTGCTTTGGGAAACAATATGATACTGTGTACATCGTTCGGGTACATCAGTGGGACGCTACATGGGAGTCGGTCAGGGCAGTCCAGACAGGGTGGCTTTGTCTGGGGCACGAGATTGGTACTTACATGGGGGTTTGGGGTTTAGGGGTCCGTGATCGACGGTAGAAGCGAGTTGTGATGACTGGAAATGCGACGGAAAGCGGACAGCCTGTCTGGTCCAGTGTTTGGTGTTGAGCAGGGGGTGTTTCCAGCGGCAGTGCTCCCTCTTCCTCGGGCCAACGGCGGGTCACCAATCGCTGTGGCACACCCGTGGCACACCACGGTCCGGTGTAGGGCAGTTTGTTGCAAGATGATTGATGGCGTGCTGGCGTTCCGAAGAAGGCTTCTGGCAGTCTGTCACCAACATCAATTTGGCCCAGTCCCCCGCGCCTGTGCCACTGCCATGCGACTCCCACGGGTATGATAGGCGTGGATGTAAGTACCTTGCCTTTCTTCTAACAGCCTCTACAGCCCGGGCATACCAGCAGAGGGGCCTGACGGGATGGTTGGCGGCCCGGTGACATCTTCTGTGTAGCCATGGCGGACTCGGAGGCCCCTTTGGGTTGTCGCGGGTCGCTTGTCGCACTGGAGAACTAGAAGAGGACCTGGCAGCTGCAGCCTTACGAAGGTAGGCCGACATGAGGTCATCCGGATGGCCAGACGGCTTAGCATCCACCCATCGTCTCATCTTGATCTGAATCTCCATTGTCTCGCGATAAGCCGCGCAATACAGGGAACTAATCGCCTGAACACTACGCGGTGTCGTAAGCGTACAGCGCTACACGAGACACTGGCGCCACGAGCTCGGGATGCCTAGTCTGAAGCGACCTGGAGGTGGTCGATGTGGAAGATCAGACATGGCGATCAGAGACAGCGCGAACGACGGGAAGCGAGCGAGGTGATGACAACAACAAAAGGCCAACGGGAAGTGGAAGAAAAAGCTGAAGGAAAAGATGATGGAAGTGAAAGCCTGTCCGCGTCGAAGCCTGCTGTGACTGTGAGCGGGAATGCCAAGGGAATCAAAGCACGGTCCCCAATTTTACCAAATGTTCTGTCAGCCTACCATCTACGCCCTTTTTCCTCGCTCCTTCCCTTTTTGGTGACGGAAGGCTTGTCAGCGCTTGGCCACCTCGCCATTCTTTCCAAGTTCCATCGCTTGCATCCCACCTTAGCTTGCTGACAATTGTAATTATGGCCTGATTTTTCTCCAATGGGGCAAAACACCGCCTTGAAACCGCTCGCGAGCCAGTTACCGCGACGGCGATGCGACAGTATGAGAGTGCTGTACCTGGCCCGTCCAGATCACTGGACTCTTGGGAGATGCACGATGGAATCATTCCTGCATCCACCTACGGAGCTTAGGAGGAAGCTAAACCACCCAGGGTCCTGACCAGCCGAGCCCCTCGCAATGCCGTTACGATTCGTTACGATAGCCCCTCGCCCGAGCGTTCTGCAGGCGGCCGGACGGGACTCGGAGGATTTTCAGGACCCAGACACTGACATGCCGGCCTCAGCAGTGGAGTCGTTCCCATACATCGGCCCGGCCGTGTTTGCATCATGGGCCGAAGAACCGGACGCCAAGCACGACCAGGCACGCCCAGGGTCCTATCAGACGGGCCGTCAAAGGCTACGGCGGCTGAACCCGACCGATCCCATAACGGGACCTTTCATGATCTCAGTGAGGCATTGGCGATATCAACATCTTATGGTGTTTTACCTGGCGACATAATTTGGATCGCTTCATGTGGATGACAGAACACTACCAACTCTGACCGGAAACGATACGAGGGAGTTGGTGGCTCGGCCCAAGAGAGATTGAATATGAGAAGGGAGGCAAGCACGACCCGACGTTGATACGAGTCCGCTTAACATGGAACCTAGGGCTCGGGGAATCTGGAAGTCGAAGATATCACCTCGTTCTTTCCTTCCTCCATCCCATGCCGCGTTTCGCAGGCAGGCTCGGTAGACAAATCTGTCTGTCCGCGAAATCTCTGAACTGAACAAGTTTTTCGTTTCTTTCATCTTCATTTTTCGGTTCAATGAGGCGCCTGCGTGCCTCTTCTCGCCACAGCCGGTCAAACGTAGTCCAAGATTTGGCGGTACAGCCTCTCAATGGCCAGGAGCGGTGATACTTCGGGCACTCTTTTTATTGACACTCCTATAACATGGGCATTATCAGTCGGGACGGTGCCCTGCAAGATTTCAGGTACATACCTCGACGTACAGTAAGTACCGCTGGCTGTTCGGGCAAAGGTGGGCAACTGTTGATTCCTTGAACAGACAAAGTATATTGTCGCTGACCTCTGTCACCAGCTCGACCAGCTCGACCAGCTAGTACCTACCTTGAGGTGCGATAGCCATTGATCAATCCTACTGCGGTTGCGAGCAAAAGTAAAACCCCCTTGTCAGGTACCTTGCACGGACCACCACAGCCAAAGCTTCGTGGGCACTGTGTGTTCAACGACCTGACCCACGGGTTTTACTTACCCACAACACCATAGTACAGGTATCCCAAACTTTGCCCAGCCCAACGTCACTCTCGTTCAGCATGACGACGATACTTGGCCATTGTGTCCTTTCATTGATCGAAACGCGCTGCAACCCCTGCTCCCAATACCGGCGTCCCAGTGGACGGACACGATCCGGCCTGCGGCGATCAGCGTGGCGCTGGCGTTAGCGCATGCTCGCTTAGGCCAACAAGAGGAGAGGGTGGCTTCGAGAACCACAGACGTTGGATAGACCGGCGTGATCGGCGAGCGTTTTGGACGTTTTGGACCAAGGTTGCCTCGGGAAATATGCCATGCCCATTGCACGTTTCTCGCGCATCCCGTCAGGCAAGTCGTTTTTTTAACCAGCTTCCTCTTTCGGAATCTTATACACGAGTACATCATGGGTCTCACCATGACAGCAACACATTAATTGCATCACCACCGATTGAGATTTGACTCTCTGGGCACCATATTGCAAAGCGATATCACTACTACGTCCTTGTGAATTAGTTGGCTCCCTCTGATGTTGGTCTACCAGCGAATAGTGTTTTGTGGTTGTGCAATACATCTGAGCGCCAGCCAGCCTCGAACACGACAAGCGACATCGAGACCACAATTTTGGGCGTCGCTAAAAAAAACCACAGGGAGCTAGCTGTTCGACAGACACTCCCACATTCCGCCCTACTCATCGCCCTTCTGAGAACCAGAAAGATGCAATTATTCAGACGAGCAGTATACGTATGAGACCGGCTTTAGAGAGCGAGAATCGTGTAGGTCGATTTCATACGCGCCTGCTTGCGAAGGCAGAGTGAAGCTACCGTCTGCCAAGGTCAATTCCGTGGCATCTATCATGCCGAGCACATACTCAACTTCAACATACCGGTCAGCGATCCGTCGATCAGCACAGGTGGGATCTACCCGACCCAGCAAACGAAGCTTCTTTCTTCCTGCTCTGCAAGATTATGTTACTCTTTATTACGCGTTTCCGGAGTAGCACGTCGATCATGAGTTAAGATAACATCTGCGCGGGCATGCAACGCAACCACACTCGTATACAGATGAAATCATTGCCGGGGCTTTGCCCAAAGCTGGTGAGTCCTCCATAGTTGCTATGGATGGGGGTGGACGGATTAATTAACAGCTGAGTCGGCCGAGTGGCCACTTCTTCATTTACCTTTCTCCAAACTCATCCCCTTATCAGAGTCTCGGCGGATCCCAGTACCATACCACCAAGATGTATCAAGTTTCACTGCTGCCCAAGCAGATGGAGTGTGTGTCACTCTTTTCCGTTGACGCCTCACATGATCACCTACCAACACCAGTCATGCTCAACATCTTCCTGACCAAACGGCGGTAGAAACTGTTTTCGTGGCTTACAGTTTTTGCCTTGATCGGTAGGTTGTCCAAAGGTCGTAACGGTGGAAGTATTCCTCCGTTTTCCTCAAATGCTCGTGGCAGTTTGGATGACGAGGTAAATTGACCTTCATCTGTCAGATCTGGTAACCCCGTCTTTCGCATACGGCTCTGTGACCGTATTCTTCGTGGCTCATTTCGGATATAGGTTTGCTCCAGCGTCCAGAGTCGTGTCAACTTATTACCTGAACCTGAACTGACGAGTCAAGGTTGTCGACAAGCCCGCTTGTTTTTCATCTGGACACCATCCGGGCGACGTAAAAGACACTTCGAAATAGGGCTATTCCACGCCTTTCCGTTTTTCTTCCCCTGACGAAGTGATGGTCGCAAGAAACGAACACCTACTCGGGTATTACTGCATGCCTGTTGTTGCGTACTTTGCCGCACAAGCGCCGACGAATAAAGCTTTTCCCAAGAAGTCTGCCGACCACATCCACGAGAAGTTGGCTTATCTTCTATATGATGGGTCGCTTTGGTCTAGGCCAGTGGCTGCATTGTTCAGACGCGCCATCTCTACCACTTGGGATATTACCACCGCCAGTCGACTATGGGAACCATTGAAATCTCGGGGAAAAGTACGTTGTATGTGTGCTAGGCTATTCCAGCACAACCTTTAGCTCTTTCCTCAGGAGCACATGCTTGAGAAAGTGAGTTCCTTTCCTCTTTGCCTCGGCCATCAAAGATCGGGTGGCTTTGTAATGATGTATTCACGCTCACACCCAGGATGTCTGCTATCCAGGGGTCTGCTCAAGCGAGTTCTATTAAAGCTTCATCCGGAACAAGCCCAATCCATTGTGTTGGCCAATAATCGGGCTTGCGTTGCCCCGATAGACCCTCTCCTTTCTTACACACATCTTGATGGACGCAGCCTTCCTGGCCTCTCAGAAATCCAAGCATGGAAGAGCATCTGAGAAACTTAAGGGCACAGTACGGGGTTGATGGGAGAAACATACCCTCTCTTTACAAGGCAAATATCCAACCATCCTGAGTCTCGGACGTCACTCAACATTATGACGCCTAGACGCCGTAACTATGCCGGGCGATGAGGCAGGTTGCGGCCAAGACCTATCCCCGACGTTGGTCACCTGCTTCTGTACCGACAACATGCGTGAGGTGTCAATGAAAGCATGCAAAGAGACAAATCTGAGGCCCTACGCCGCAACCAAGAGCAAACATCGAGATGGGTGGATAGCTTCTCTCCTGCCTCGATACCGGATCCCCGCTTTCCAACGGGACGCCACCGTTGTCTGTCGACAATATTGACCAGACCAGCCTTGTCAAATGAAATGCAGGCGGGAAGGTGATCATCCCCTCGAATTCCCCTCGACACACCCACTTTCCGACGGTGTCTGTGGAGTTTGACATCCTTTTACGGTACACGATGACCCTCTCGATACAAACTAAAAGCGAAGCTAAGACGATACCAGGGATTGTGAATCCAACTATGCCGAACTGGCATCACCCTGCATGCTAATTCAAAACGTCCTTGCTCTTCCTCATCAAGGCGTCACCGGCTTCTCGTCCCACACAGGATCAGGCAGTCGGTTATAGCGGCCACAGGGTACCTTTTTGGGTAAGGAAACAGGCTGGACTGAAATCAAACTCCACCAGCGTCAATAACGGTCTCGTTACATAGTGAAAATTAATCGTGATCTAGGCTCGGCATCGGCATTCATGCTAGTTCATCTCGGAACAAGTGGGAGTTTACTGGGTATGCATGTATGTACATCCATATCCCTACCTGTGATCGCCCCGGGAGATACTCCGGGGCAACCACGTACCGTGGTACCGCGTCCAAGTTTCC